GATGAGTAAGATTGAATTGAATTAGCTTTTGGCTTTAGATTCAACTGCACTATCTGCTGATGTACAGTATATATTTATATGACAATATCTATCGGTTAGGCAGAATAGACAGAAGAGTAATCTTTTTTTGGCGGGGGGGGGGGGAAAGTATATACTCTACATACTTTTGATGCTATTATTTTTATTCATCTGTCTCAATATTGTCTTGAAAAATATATGCAGCGCATTCATCACTCCAACTTGATTGTATTTTCAGCCATGGAATATGCTTAGTAAAGTAGATGAATTGTGTCTTGATCGTACTATACAAATTGCAACTTATTGACGATTGGGGAAATTTCCTAGAATATCTCAAAAGATTATTTTTTATTTTTTATTGTACGGAATGAATTGCTAGTCTTTCCTACGTGATATCGGCCGGGGGTGGGGGGTGTTTTAACTTAACTAGATAAGGCTAGGTGTTTTAACTTAACTAGATAAGGCTAGGTAATGTATAGATTGGATTAATCATCTGACTGAAAATTCTCGATCAAGCCTGTTTAAATGGATTGTCAATGAAAAATATGGAAATGATAGCATCGCTTTTTGACTGTACGTACGGTAGTATACAGGATCAAATTGGATATCATGACATGGCATACGTTGGCGGTAGTTCGTTTTTACTCCTCGTACTGTATTTCTTTATCCAATCTTGGATAATGGAGGACGAAAATAAAAGATATCGCTGTCCTCATCAGAACTGACTACATTGTTTGTTGGTATACTGGATATGGCTGGAGTTGTAATCTACATGCGTTGCTGAAGGAGGATAAATAAATACAATATCACAGTGTAGACTAGTAGATTTGACAGCAGTTGAATATTGTCAATTCGCTTAGTCGTTAACAGAAAACTAGCCTGTTACTTTAAATTGCTAGTTAAAGTCCAACTCTTCCTTAATGTCTTTATTTAATAAATATATTTTCCTATCATTTCTGACACATATGTATTGCATTGTTGACTGTTTTAAAAGAGTATTTAACATTCTGATTTGGATTCGCCTCTGTACGTTATATTTTTTTAGTTAGACTCTATTGCTAATCGACGCTGCGATAGTATTTTTGTAGTACGATAAACCCAGATCCAGATTACGCTAATCAAATATATTTTCTATGCCAAATGAATGCTAACGCTTTAGATTTTTGAATTTTCTAAAAAGGAATTTCACTTCGTTGTGGAGAAATTATACAGTCATCCATTAAAAGGAGACCGCTAGATAGCTATAGTTATCCTAATATCATTTTTTTTTTTTATCTTCTATGCTATCCAACTGTTTCATTCTATGTATTCTAGTCATATTGCAGTCAACGCTGAAATTAACTTCTTTGGCCTAGAGTAAATATGAAGATACAAGTTCCTTTTACTTGTACTTTTTTGTTGACAGCAGTAAAATTGTTAAGTATTGATTATATAGATATCGTATTTATCGAATGCGGTCGTTTTCCTTTAAAGTGCCTTGTAATCACCGAAAATGATCAATTCTACTGTTATGTCTAAGCAGCTGAAATTGTTCATTTTACTACGGATATTATTATATAAGAATGTGGAACCCTATAGTGCTTGATCTTTTAAACTTCTATAGCTTCATTCAGAATTGGACTACTATAATTCATTCTCGAACGAAGTAGTCCGTTTAAATTCATCCGTGAAAGTATTATTCTATATTTTTTTTTCTCCACTTTCCATTCTAAAATGTAAACTTGACGGTTTTCGAGAAAGAGATTTCTTCCTTGAAGAAGCCAAACTATACGTACATTAACGAATAGTCTTCTATTTACTAAGTACTTGTTATTGTTGGCATTGATCAAAAATCTGATGCTCGTTTTTACGACGTTAATCAATTTATCCTACTAGGGTTATTTTGAGCTATCACTTGACAAATAACTTGGCAATGAATTGTATTGATTATTGGATTGACTACTCTTCTGTTGCTTATTCAAGATGACTAATTCTATGTATTTCTCTTCTAGGAAGGCAAGCCAAATCTTTTCGGTGCCATCATTAGGCATTCTTCGCTGATCTTTTTTGCTTAATATTGGTGTTAGAAGACAAGTGGTTAGGCTGGGGGTCTGTCATTCATTTCACTCATTTTGTGACTATGAGTCACATTACAACGACAATATCAACTTTGACGATGAAGGTAAGTTCTCCTTGAACTGAACATAGATCTCCATTTCTGGGGGTTATCGCTTAATCAATCACTCAATGATAGCTATAATTATATATATATAAATATAAAATCAGCCATTATTCTACGTATTCCTTCAAGATAAAATAAGTCTCAAGACAAGAGTGTCAACATCTAATGTTGTCTATACAAATTCTTTTGGAGAGAAAAAATACCCTTGTATTTACTGTATGTAGGCCCCCAGCGGAACACTCCATAAAAAGTTTTCTTACTAAGGTCTCGTTAAAAGTTTTTCCTTCCTGTATAATAATAGACATTCTGATGGGATAAACTCTCACCAAGCTCAGGATATACCATACGGTAGTACAAAGGAATCGTTAGAGTCTAGCTTAAAGACTTGTTTTCTTGATCGATTTTACCGATTCCATTGAAGCGTTCAACTAAATGGGTAGTTGTCCAACTTACGCCATTTGTGCCCTTCCGCACAAGTAGAACACTTTTTCGGGGTTCTGTTAATTGTAATTTTGACAGTAATATCCGGTGTATTTGCTTGCATGGAATGCATGCAGTAACGCTGATTCGTTAGTTGGAAATTTCTCGTTGATAGTGACTGAATTCAATAATTTTGATGCGTATTGAAGTATCAAAGAAGGAAAGAGATTGCTGATTCAAGAATTGATTTCAATACACTTTGATCCGATCCACCTCCAACAGTTCAAAATGACACTTAAAATAAATAATAGTTTGGACGGAAATGATAATTTAAATGGCGCAATACATGCACGTAATCATCCATATCTTTTGACCGAATCAATCGGTAAAACCAGACGACTGGATTGTTACTTAGGAAGCCTTTTAGGTATATTCCCGACCACTTCCATACTGTCATGTACTGTACATCGACATTACAATAAATCCCAAAGATTATTTTGTAGCATGATTATCCAATTTTTCAACTTATTATCATAAGCTGTAGCCGTTGGAATAATAATAACTTGCATCTCCTACCCATCCTACTAAACCTACATAACAACAAGACTCTATTTTCACAGTTTACTTCAACTATCTTGAGATAACGTCGCTTGACCGTAAGCGAAGTAGCATGAGCGAGAGCTCGACTAGTAGGTAGAATATCTTGATCTCTTCTTATTTTGCATCATTTAAAATGAGAGGAAATGAATCCATTACGGTAATAATAAAATGCTATAATATGGCCACGTTGGTAGTCATACGCGTATGGAGAACATAGACTTGGTAACGTAGTACAATATAGTGCTGTAAATCAAAATCTGGCTATAAAAAATGATTCCAATACTGTTTAATCAGCAAATAAGATCAAAATTTGCACTACTCGACAGAGAATGTTCTTGAACTGGCAGTATCAGCCAAAGTACATAATCTACGTTGTCTTGATGTCGGTAAATTAAATCAAATTTCACTTTGAACTACTTCACTGCTTAGTTGTTGACCTATCGACTTAGTAATTTGGTAGAATACAGTGCTGTGAATCAAAAACTGGCTATGAAAAATGATAAAATAATACCTTAAAACCAACAAATAGGACCAAAACTTGCACTGTTTAACAGAGAATTGAACTTACGCCATCAGTCTAAGTACAGTATATAATCTACTTTGTCTTGATGTCTGTGCTCTAAATTAACTTTCACTTTTAAATAATTGCAATGCTTAGTTGTTGGCATATAGACTCGGCAATTTGGGGGTAATGCAGTGCTGTGAATCAAAACTTGGCTATCAAAATGATTAGTAAAAAGCCTTAAAATCAGCAAATAGGACCAAAACCGAGACTATCCATCACAGAATGATGTTTTTCCACCTTACTTTGTCTTGATATCGGTGTATTAAAATTAACTTTCACTTTAAACAAGTATACTGTTTCGCTAATGGCGAACTTAGTATTTAATTGTAAAAGGGATATCAATCAAATTGGGATCTGATGGTAGATTTTGATTCGAGAGCGTTTCTCTTTGCGATGTATTTAATCAAATTGTATCTAGAACAAGTTGTACTAATTAATTGTTGACGTATTCACTTTATATTAATAATAAGAAAGGAAGCCAATCAAATTTGGATGAAAAAATTTTCCAATTGAATTCTCTTTGCAGTGCAATTAAACCACTTTTCACTTAGCCTAAGTGTACTCATCTACTACTAATAGAATGAATACCGTAGTTTTGAAAATTAATTAGAAATCGATCAGATTTGGATTAGATAGCAGAACATTTTTCAGTTCCTTTTTCTTACCATGTAATTTAATTAACTTCCAACTACAATGAGCGTTCAAGTCCACTGTATACTATTGGTGTAATGAACTTTAGAGATGAAGGAGTTTATTGAAGATTATTCCTAGTACTGTAGATGGGATGAGTTTCTTGAATAGGAATTGATATGATGGCAAAATGTAGAAGAAGTTGTTTATCCTACGTAGATGAATGTCACTGTAGAAAATCGATCTGTCAATTAAAACATTCTATTATTGAATATCTTTTAGTCAATTAGAATATCAAGTTAATTAAATTCGATTTTCATTTACTTTGTTAATTTTGGATAGAAACCATATGTTTTCAAGGGATTATACAACAATTTTTTTGTTGAATACAACGCTAATTTTATTACCAATTCTACCCTGTTAGACACTAACTTTAGTCTTCTTTAGGCTGTCTTTGTCAGTTCTACTCGATGTTAGTAACAATTTCCAACATGACTGCCATATTACCCTAATAAAAGCATCATCATGCACATATATCGACCATGATGGATGTTGTGTTGCTAATATCTAACTGTATCCATCTCTGTATTTTTATCTTTCCTTATAGTGAATTTAGATCATTTCGAAGTCCTACGAGCCATTGGCAAAGGAGCTTTTGGAAAGGTACAACCATAATTTTAAAATTATAATAATAATACCAACTCTTCACCTTGTTTTCAACATCAGTCAATGCTCTGTTATCATAGTTCCTACGATATTACTGTCTCCCTCACTAAGTGTCCACCAGATGGTGGCATTCATATGTCTTAAAATTAATTGGCTCTTACTGAAAGTTATGTATATTATTTGTCGACAAGTTACTTTCTTTTATTTCCTTTTTGTTGTAGATATACTGTATAAATCGTGTCATTATAACGTAATTAAAATATTCGGTCGAAAAAATCCCGACGTGCGGGTCCATTTTACTGATATCATAGCTTAATCGCTTAGATAGAATGGAAACCGATCATGTTTGCTTTGCTATAGCATGGAATATTGCGTTACAGTACGTTTCTGCGATCTTAATAGTAACAACAGGCTAAAACTTTCTTGAGGTGTTTTTCGCATTTTTTTCCCCCACCGTAGCCGATCTAGCATTTAATAGTTTGACCACATAACTGTAATGTCATATTGCTTATTAGGGTTTACGAATGGTGTTAAGAGAATATTAGCGATAAAGGCAACTAACACTTAGCTATTGATTGCTATACTTGTACCGAATTTTCACGAATTTACTTGTTCCAGTAACTACAATAAGAACCAAGTACAATATTGGATATTGCAGATTAACCCTTTCCGAATACTTATTTTGAAAAAAAAGGAATATAAAATTTAAACTATTTGCGTGGTTAAATCATTGCCTAGGAGATATGCTGTGCTGCTTTTGCCGATTCAGGCGTGATAGTCATTGAAATAAATAATTAGCCATTGAATTTGACTAACTACCTGCATATAATACATCTCTTCAAAAAAAGATCAATAGTGCGATTATATGCTCTATATTAAATTTTAATACCCAAATCATTTAACTGAACCATACTCTACAATAACGATGATGATGGTTATGATTGCACTTTCTGAGAGCAGCATTCTTCGTTGTGGCGATTATAAATTTCATTGCTATTCCATCCTATTATAAAGTTCACAAGTACCTAACTAATGAGAAAGGGTTATTTAATTTCCATCCTCTGATTTAATTTTCATCTTATGTATGATACGCTGCCTACTATGTCGAATTGAAGCCTATTTTTACAGTCTACTGATATTTTAAAGCATAGGGAAGGTTAATATATTCAGCTATTTGTCGCTCTATCGCAGCTTGTTTAATTTCTTGTGATTATAAATGATAAACCGATTCTTGTTTATCTTTTTATATCGATTACAATTATAATCATGATGTTATAGATCATACTCTATATGAAAATAGAGGTACAAATTTTCAAGTAACAACTTTCGATTGAATAAGTTATTAATTGAAGGAAGGACATTTTAGCTTTGATGAAAACGGACGGCAGAGTGGTGTATATGTACTCCGTATTCTTTATTACACAGTTAAAAAACTGAAGCTTCATCTCGTTCATACAGCAGGAGTAATCAAAATGGCGATATCGGCTATCGTAGTAACTGCATTAAGCCTAGTAATTACTAGAAACATTTTTGATATAAGGTCAAAGAATTGTTTAAAAGTGTCTACTTTGTAACAAGGCTTGAAATACTTTACGACTTCCTTGAAAGTAATCTTTGTCATTTTTTGTTGACTAGATTTATTCTACCATGTATAGTAGATTAAAGATAATCGAGCACTTTATTGATGTTTATTAGAGATAGTTTTAGTTCTTCTAACGGCCCATTTACATGAGCAATATTGAAACATTTTTAAAAACACTCCAATTTTCGTATGACACCCTATTGCAGAATTTTTATCGACATTCAATTCTACTATTTAGCATCGTTAATATTCAGTATGTTATCGTACTAATCTATACTTTAAAATACACGCGTGATTAAGTACTTTGTTGGATATGACATATAGTTCCTTTTAATTTCTTTTCATGGGCGATCGCAGGTACAAATTGAAATTTTTAAAATACTAAAATTTATCATTACATCGTAGCGTATTTACTGACTACATTAAATTTTACTTTCAACATAATCATTATTCAGTATTCCATTGTACTGGACTATAAAGCATAATCCCGTACTTTAAATTAAATATGAGCGTTTTATATTTCTTGTAATGATAACCTACATAAGCAAAAACTAGAATTGAAAAAAAAATACCGGAATTTTTTCACCTAATTGCAATATATTCACCTCTATTATTGTAAAGCTCCAAATTTTACCATCCAAGACAAATAATTAGTACTGTGCTATAGTATACTTTCTAGCGACACACTAAACTGTTTAAACCCAAGTCTGAATTGAAAAGTGTAATTTTAGCATTTAGAACGATAGAACACAGTGCAGTATAGATATTGATGATGTCCTAAAAATGTAGTCGCATACCGTAACATTCCTCGGTTTAAGCTTGAAAGCTTCTTTGTTTTCATATTAATTTCCATATTTTTTCATGGCAAGCCAATTTGAATAGGCTATGGAAAACAATTCATAATGTTATATTATTATCAATCTTCTTACATCATTCCGGTTTTCACTGAATGAAGACAATATAATTTTCAAAACCTACGTAACTTAGCCTTATTAACATTATTAATGAGAATCAAGTTATTGCAATCATATCTTTGCTTTTAACTATTTAAACTGCATGTACTTAGGTCTAACTAAATTAAAAGTATTCACTCAAATACTGTATCATCTGTATAGTGATTGGTGTTCATCAATTTTTTCTAATACGGAATATTCCATCCAGTTTTATTACGATTTTGCTGTAACTTACAACAATTTGCACCGTTATCTAGTATACATTACTAGGTTACCCTGTATTTTGCGAAAAATCGATTTTTTTGTTGCCCTTTATATTGCAATTACTTTATGTTGTTCTGACGTAGCCTAGGGTGCATGAACCACTAAAGAACACTGCAATTTCTTTAATAAAATAGTTCCTTTACTATCTTTGTCAAGTTTTCCTTATTAAATAAATACACATCACTTAAAAAACTTACTGGTTCAAGGATTAATATAGTTAAGAAATATTTTTTTATTTGTTATTATTAATTAAACTGACCTCTGACAATAGTGTACATAAATTAAATCATTCCTTGTTACGTTAGAATATTTTAATTCTTATGACGACTAGTTTACATGTTATAAATTGGTATCGTGTAATAATACTTTCATCAATAATAACAAAGACGTGTGTAGCGCGCTCTCTTCACATTTCTTAACTAGCTTAAAATAATTTACATATTGAATATTTTACTCAGTGAGTGCATACCAATATATTAATCATAGCTTAGTGTATTTCTTAAACATTTCAATCCTTAAAGTTGGTATAGTATCGGAGAATGCATATTGTACAATTCTAGTTATGATTCGGCTTTCATGCAAAATCCTAAGTGTAAATGATAAAGTATCTAAAATAATAAACAAGAACTGCACTTTCTTGTAAACTTCACTTTGGTGCATAGGTTCATCTTACAACTACTGAAGACTATATAATTTAATCTTAAGCTAATTTGAGGCTGCACAACAGTGACGAGTACTAGAAACACAGCATTAACCGCCTGCGACACATACCGTAATTATAGTTTAGCTATACAGGATTATTTAAGCTTTGCAAGTCTAATTTGGACTTATTGGATTATATATATAATTGAAAGCATAAAAGTATAGTATATTTATCGATAATATTTCTTTTATCTGCTATATGGCCTATGCGTACCCTTTCTATTCCCAGCGATCAATCTATCTTTGAAAAGCTACTGTTTGATTTAAATGATAGTATAGAAGTAGAGCATACAAGTGAAATAGCCCGCATCTTTGAGATATATTGAGTCTAACCCCATCCCCGTTTGACATTGAGTATGCATATAGTTAACGATCAATATATCTTTAAAAGTCTGCTTTTATATTAAAAAAATATTATAAAGGTGAAATATATGAGTAAAGTTGAATATGTCATTACATAAATATTGTGTTTAACCGTCGTATAACATATATGTACCGTTTGGGTATACAACGATCAACTACGATTTAAAAGCCTGCTGTTAGACTTAAAGTATAGGATGTATGTGCATCTTCTTCTGATGACTAAAATAAGCCATGCAGCCACCTCTATTTCATAATCTGAAATAAATTTAGCTCACTAAATAAATACTGTAGAGATATTGTGTTCATTCCGTTATGAAACTATTCTTGCTTAATTTTTGATGCTGCTTCGGCCAAATAACCACATGTTTGATCAATATCTACTGAATGCTTTCTAATTTATTTCGGTCGGATTACCAATATTTCTATGGTATTAATAAATAGTTGCGAGAATATACTGTCAGTAATAGGGTCTGTTATCTCTGTAATTAAGAATGGTACATATATTATCTAACCAATTTGCTATTACAATAAGTGAATCTTAATTAAGCAATTTTTAAACTACCGTTACGCAATATGGCTGTAGCCTGACTATAGCTTCATGACTATAGCTATATGGCTGTAGCCTGACTATAGCTTTGTGACATTGCACAAGGAATAATGCTAGTATGCGTGAGGTTCTAATTCATGAAATTTATAAAACAGGTATGCATCGTCCAAAAGAAGGATACCAAAAAGATGTACGCTATGAAGTACATGAATAAAATCAAATGTATAGGTCAAGGGGCTGTCACCAATGTCTTACGTGAACAAGAAATGCTTAAAGCTCTAGAGTATCCCTTAATCGTTAATCTTTGGTTCGCTTTTCAAGACGTAGAGGACATCTTTGTCGTCTTAGATCTACTATTAGGCGGTGATTTACGATATCATATTCAACAAAATGTGCGATTCACCGAAGACATTGTTAAGGTTTATCTAGTTGAATTGGCATCGGCATTGGACTATTTGAGATGTAAATATATAATTCATCGGTATGTATGGCTTTAAGCTGTATAGTTATTACATTACCCGTTTTAATGACATATATTTGCTACCACCGTTCTTTGGTCAAAGGGCCTATTATTTCGTATTCATATTATTTTAGAGTCTGTTTGCAATACTGTGCTTGTAAATGTACTGTACTAAGAATAGTAAATGCCGCAGAAATACTGTATTGATTATATGGCTTTTGGTTGAGATACTAAAGGGATTGCGATATTGTGCTAATTTGCGAATATTAATTTATACATCCATATTGCGGTCAGAAAGAATTGATTAGTCTTTTAGAATTTACTTCATTCCTTTCAATAAATATTGCTTGTCTATTAATGCTAGAAAAATATCGATACGATAAATAGTGCAATTAAGTAAGCTTACTGCTTGATGTGGAAGAGCATTAAAGAAGTATATTCTAAGTATCTATTTATTAATTATATTTCAATAGGGATTTAAAACCGGATAACATTCTTCTAGATGAGAAAGGTTAATAAATATTTAATATTCTTTAAAATTCATTTTTGTTACGTTTTATAGGGTTGATAAGAGACAACTTGCAGTTAATTTCTGCTTAACGCATGACTCTCATACTTGTCATACTTATAATGGCCAAATGTATATGTGTTAAATTTTTTGCTGCGTCTCAATGTTAGTCGAAGCGTATTTCCACAGTATCTTGCTTACTGATCAACGAATTGAATTACTTAGATAAAGACAACCCCACTTAGATATAGTATATTTACTTTCCTACGTTAATACTTATGCCGTAATAGTAATGATAATGTAAATTTGCTAAAACCGTCTAAAGTTTTATCTCCTAAAATCTTATCTCCGCCTTACCTGGTTACTTTTTTTATTGCATACGCATACAAGTAGCTTCATATATCTATTTGGTAGAAATTTACTGATACCAAGAAGAGTATAGCATTTTAATAATCATTAATATTTCCGTATAAAATCGTACATATTCTAAACTCTCCTTTATTGCAGGTCATGCCCATTTAACCGATTTTAACGTCGCAGTTTACGTTCAACCTGGAAAGAAGATAACAAGTGTAACTGGCACTAAACCATACATGGGTTAGATCATCTATTAATAAAAATATTGCTACCGAGATATTCATAACTTTCCGTGTTCACATTACGAGCATGTATCTGCCATTTTGCGTTAATGTAAAAGCCAACGTTTAACCGTTCTAATGCATGTATGGTATTTCTCAATGCAATATTTTATACTTATATATAGCACCGGAAATTTTTACCAACAATTATCTACACAATGATCCGCCAAGCTATTCTTTCGCTGTTGATTGGTGGAGTTTAGGGGTATTGCTGTACGAAATCTTGACGAGAAGAGTGAGCTTTTTATTACGTAGTGTTTACTAATAGAAGAAATTGAGTTTATCTTTCTGAAGTATGCGATATCGCATACAAGATATTGTTGACTATAAGAGACCTTAGCGTAATAAAAATGAGTATAATTTGAATGTTAAATTTCATTCTAATGTTAAAATATTGCTTAAAAAATAAGCGATGTTAACTCTCATATAAAGTTGTGGTACTAACTATTACCATCTACTGCGATAAATGTACTTTTAGAGGCCATATGATATTGAGTCTAGAACGCCAAACTCCAAAATTTGTCAAATGTTTCAGCAAAGTAAAAAGCCTCCATATAGAAACCACTGGTCGCGTGAATTTTTGGAAGTCATAACCGATGTAAGGATAATATGCCTTTTTAAATAAATTAATCTATAATCAATTTCTGTAATATTAAAGCAGCTTTTACTTAGTAACATATTTTAATGATGTAAGTTTATTAATTAATATATAGCTATGGAGTCATATCAGTACTGATAGTTACAACTTTTTCATTTAAAATTTATCTAGCTGCTAGAAATTAACGAAGATGATCGCTTGCAAAGTGTTCAACGTTTAAAGACCTACGATTTTGTTGCTGGTATTAACTGGTCAGATATTGCAGAGAAAAAATTGCAGCCCTCGTTTATTCCATCGGTATTTCACTTGTTTCGCTTTTATGTAGCTATAACTGTGGATTTTACGTGATTGAATTGCTATTGCACTAATAGTATTAAGAACAATAATGATCGAATTGATTATGCAATTAGTTATAGCAAATAGAATGATCTTCTATTTCTGAAGGTGTTAGAGTGCATTCAATATCAAATTATTTATATGCATACGATGCGAACATAAATATTTAACTTTGGGTACTTACTTATACAATGATATAGCAACGTAGCTTAAATTGCGATCCAGCGCATGAACTAGAAGAAATGATTGTTGAGCCGAACCCATTACATAAGAAAAAGAAAAGATTAGATAAAAAAAATAAGGTAGCTGATACAGATGTAATTTAAACCGTAATATGAAAGGATCATACTATATAATAGTGTTATACGCGTACACTATTTTGTACTACTGATGGCTGACTGAATGTAAAGACAGTGCTAATGTTTATTAAATTTCGAAAATTAACAAAGCAAAATGAAAACAATTTCGATCCTTATGCGAAAACACGAAAAGAACTAGCTGAAAAATTTATGGCGTACAACAGAGAAAGGTATCAGTATTTAGTATTTATGTATTTATTGTAGTTGGTTAATATTTTTTAACTTCATTACCTATAGTATCGAAAGATAAGTAACTTATATTTCGTATTTCAATATCGTAGAGATATGTTGGAAGAGAAAAAGGAAGAGAATGAATTTAGTGACGAGAACGATACTAGTAGCAAACCATTCACCAATAGCAACTACAGCAATAACATAAATAACAACAATGTCAATAATAATAATAGCAATAGTAATGTTACTGTCACATCCGTTAGCAATAGGAAAGGCAATCACGTTAATAATACCAACAGCAATCATACGAACGGATCTAATTAGGTGTTTAATTTTGTTATTGACGCCTTTACTGTTAGTTTGTGGTATATGCTCTGTAACATTGATCCACCTTCTATATTATTTCTATTTCTATATACGTATGTAATAAAGCAGATACTATCGCAAATGACAATTGGTAAAGCAAAGATATTCCGTACTGTATATTAATGTAAGCAGTATTTCATCAAATAATCCCATTTTAGTGATTAAACTTCTGAATATACTAATTTGTTAACAATATTTACTTAACTTATTTACGAATTTTTAAGTCATTAAAAGTATCGATCAATTCCTTATGTAGTATAGTAGCATTATACTATACTGCATTATTCTCACTCAATACGTCAGTTTGTTTAATATAAAGACTTTGTTTATTTATATTTTTAAGATTTTATTGCTGACGTCTTGTAGTAAAATTGCATACTAAATCATTATGAAAGATTGCTGTAGAAGCTACAGTCTTTTCAATAACTTACAGATTACAATTATTGACGTTATGATAAATTAATAATTACAAAAAGCTTCGATTATCCGATATTAACAAGGCACATTCATTATATAGCTAACTTGTAGCAAATCTTGAATCCCTAGATATGCCTATTTAGCCGACAGCAATGTCAATGATAGAGCATTTACGCGATTTTCTTGTAATTACTTTTGTTATTTTGCAGTGTAATTACTTATTCATTCATGCTGTACTTTCGTTGTCATTTTAACTTCAATTTTCTTTTTCCGTTGTAGATTTAAAACTTATAGACTCAACACTGTATTATCTACCCTTCAGTGATATAAACTTGAATTGATAATTTCACTTTTAGCGATTTTCGATCTTGTTACTTAGCTTGGAATAAATAACATAGTTTCTTAAAGAGCATTGATATGTTTTATTCATTGATTTTACCCCAGTGAGAAATATGCTCGAATTCAAGAATAATTAATTTACAGTAAGTTAAACATTGACCAATAAGTCAGTTATTATTGAACATTTTAGCCAATTTTAAAATGATTTCTTGTAATCAGAGTAGGCTGATGCAAGATTTTGGTCACCCTACTTTTACGGCCTATAATTTTGTGAAATCAAAAAACCTCTTTCGTAACAAATGTACCTAGTCTACTAGTAATAATTCTCGTATTGACGGCCTATATTAACAAAATTTCACTTCTCAGTAATCAAATATACAATTTACTGAAATAATTAATACGTGCAAATAACATTTTTTAATGATACTGTACGACCCCAATAAAGGGATGGATCAAACTGTAGCATTTCGTTATTAGCTTTATGCAATTGTCATCATGCCATGAGACGATAATGCTCAGAGTATCTTCTAGAGTATTTCTAGGCAGATATTTTAAATTTCTCAAATAATTAAGGAGCAACAGTTGATTAACTACTTGCATATGAATAGTATATCAGCAAATTATATTTTTTTGAAAATTCGACGATGCGAAGTTAAATAGTAAATTTGATGACGTAAGAGCCATCTGAAATTAACCATGCTTGCGTATCGGTTGACTTTTGAATAGCTTAAACGTCAACTGACTCATCAGTCTTATAAAGTATGATTTTAATGTTATATATATACAAATTGTTGGCTACAGTTTCATACTTAAATTTTATTAATACTATAACTATTGCGATACAAGACGATATGACAAGACAGCAACATATAATACGTAGTGACAGGTGGTCGATAGTATTGCACACATACTGAAATCTACAAGTGCATATTATAATTATAGCCATATTACGGCCTTTGCTACTTTTAATTCTCCAATTGTAAGGGTTGCCATTGCCAAGTTAAAGAACGCTTAGGCCATCATGCCTTTGGGATCATTGTAATCCGATAAGTTAAGGCCTGTTATGAAGTGTGTGTGTGTAAACAAAGTTGTACTTTAAACATTCTCATTTGTACTAACTAGCTTATTTATATTGCAAAAGAGTTAACGTATACTGTTAATGGCATACGATTAATCCATTAGTTCATTAAAATAAATTTTACGCCTAATTCTTAATACGTTGTTGCTTAAAAAAGTTTTTGAATTAATTACTTAATAATTAAGAATTTACAATTGTCTACGGCCGTAATGTTCGATACTTCTAGTAATATCCATAACTTTCATTTATCTTTGTGGGATACAGCATTGCGAGTTCTGTTAATTGTAATTGAACGATCGCTTCGGTTTATAAATTAAATAAGATTAAACAGGTAACATGGTTGATAAAATTGAGATGTTTTTCTAATGCTGATTTTAATGAATAAGCTGAAGGTTTTCATCGTTGACAGTCGATATAACACTACTGCGTTGGTTATTCTTAGTAGCTTCGTGTAGTTCTCTCTATACGAATACATCAGGAAAAACTTGTAAGAACGAATAATTCAAGATTAATTAAACACTGCATTGCAATAAGTATGGTAATAGTAATAATAATAATAAATAAATCTGTTTAATTCCATGACTATTTCTATATATGTATATCCACATAGAAATCTAGACGTTAGTTTGATGACTTTACCGTAAAATCTGTAAAAGAATTACAAGTTGATGGAAAAGAAATTTCATTTGTCTTCATATTCGCTGTTTCAAAGTTGTAACCTTCGTTGCTGTTACTGTTCACTTCTTTAAGAATACGTATATTTTTGGACCTTGCAGTCTTAGCTGGAGTAACCCGAGAACCTTTAGCCATCTTATCATAAAAATAAGCCAACAAAAAAGTATTTCATGTTACAGTCTCGCTAGGCTAAAAATGAAGTTATTTAGAGCTCGTTTATAATATACGAGTAACTTACAACTGTAAGTACACTTACTTTAACTCTTCCTGGAGTCTTACTGCTTTGTGGTACGTTAATACGAGATTGTACTCGACTATGAGCACTTCCTGTTGACATGGTTGAAACCTAAAAAATATATTATTAATAATAATAATTATATTTTCTTCATGCATATCTCTGTAGATTTGCAATAAATTTATATAAAAAATAGTTAAACAATCCCAGTTTCAATACTGGTGAAAATTAACTATACCTTTTGCTTCTTCATAGTTGGTGTTTTAACAGGTGTGCCAGCAAATCGCCTGTAGATGTATTATATTTTCATTATATTTATTTCTAGTTCAAATACTTTTGAGAATGAGAATTTTCAGTACCTCTTAACTGGACTTGGTTTGGCCCCATAGGTCAATTCTTTTTGTAATTCACGTTCTTTAGCAATTTGCTAAATAATTACGGCGAATAAATAATTATGACTTGTTAATATTTTAAAAAAAAATGATAAAAATAAATATAGGCATAGCCCATAATAAATCAGCCACCAATCTAAAGAATTATACTATACTATCAATTACGTACTCTATCCATTTTTTCTTGCGTTTTTCGTAGTTTATGTTCTTCCTTTAAAGCTTCGATAGTATCTAGGAATCGTTGGCCATCGATACAGAAAGGTTTACTTTTTTCCTTTTCATACTTTAACATCTTCGCCGTAAGATCCTTTTCAACCTTAATTTTTTTATATTATAAGTTATTGATAACACAATTAATTCATACTCATAAAGTGCAGACTAAGCTTATTTTATTATGACTACACCTCTATAGCAATTTTAGACATAAAGATTAGGTAGCGTTATGCTATTCACCTTTGGAAATTCCTTATTAAGTGCACGACGTAATTTTTCTTCTTGAAGTAATCTACCACCACGATTACCAAATCTGTTGGGATCATTTGCCCTTGCCTATAAATAATTGCAATCAATTAAATAATTTATAAAAGGCAAATACCAAAACATTTTTAAATAGTGTATTTACAAGGATGCATTATAATTTTATAGTTATGCATACTTCAAATTCAAGCCACTTATTCCAAAGAGTGTACCAGTGTTCAACAAGTTGGTAGTAAGACTCATGTTCACTGTAATAATCGGTGATTCTTTTAATTTCATTTTCGTGCAAGTTTAGTAAATCTTCCGAATAGTCCTCTATAAATGTCCGTTATAAAAAGTTAAAACTATAAGAAAAGGGTCGGGTCGGTTGTATGCCGTAATTATTGTTAAAGTAATTTTAGGATGCAGTATAATTTAAAAGCCAGCAATGCATTTTCTTTCTAGCAGTTTAGCAAGATTACTTGCTGCAATATTATTTCTTTACATTGATTAGTGATATTATCAGTGTATCGTTCGCATTATTAACTAAAACTATAGAATATATACTACTGATGAACTACTCGATGTCTCGCCTGATGTAACTGGTTCAAATTTCATTCTTTCTTCTGAATCAAAATGGCACTTATCCCACCATTGGTTTAAATCTTGTCTGTTAGATAAGATGAAAAAACATGATAGCAGAAATATTCATGAGGCAATTGACTAAAATGATTCATAGAATAGACAAATATATCTATTTCTGACCTTGATTTTTCAACCAGTTTTTTCAGATTTTCAAGCTTCATTTTATTTAACGCATCGAGCTCCAATTCAAGCTACTCCACAAAATTATAGATTGTAAATTGAGCCAATATTAGTGCTTTCATAAATCAACGTAGCAACGATATTGTTTGTGTTTAGAATCGAAGATAATTTCTTACAGCTGTTATGACAGAAGGTTTACATCCATGTGTAACTTCATTAAAAGCTTCGCGTTGCTCTTCTTCGATATCTAACCGATTCCATAAATGTTCAACGTCTCGTCTAAGCTGGTTTGTCTTTTCTTCGTTTTCTTTCAATTGAGTTTCATACTACATGAAAATAATTCCATTCAAACTGTGAGAAACTAGACGCTATCATTATGATTTATACTTTATTTATAACGCCTTTAGTTAGAAATAAATTACTTTAGTAATTAAGGCTTTCAGATAATCCATATTGCTATCTGATAATTCATAATTGTTGGCATCAGATGATGCTATGGCTGTTTCTTTGTCATCGGTTTGTGTAACCTCTAACTCATCCCACAGGTGAACCAGAACTTCTTTCGTTGAGATAAACATGCTTTCACGCTTTTCCTATTTGCATCCATTTAATAATAACACAAGTATAGGCTTTAAGTTATCAAGTTCATTACTACTACATTGACTACACGATATCGAACAATTACGTACCAATTCTTTCTTGATTGTTTCAACGTACTGGCTGTATTCGTTAAGCCTGCTTTCAGTCGGTACACCAATAATTCGATCAGGGTTTAATGATCTTGCTAAACGTTTACAAATACGATCCTCATCATCGACAAGAGTTTTCAAATTTTTCAATCGAAGATGGCGCTCCAATGATAAACGATCAACTTCAGTCCTTAACGATTTTTCCATTTCCAATAATGTTAAGCTCTCATCAGTCTGTAAAATATAGTTGTTAGCAGTTGATGATGGGCTACAAGTATTGTGCTGTTATAGTTTCATTTATATCTCATAAGGAATGGAGCTATAGCTATACACTATAATGCAAGTGAGAAACATACTTTCATCTGTGGAACTTGTAATTCACTACAAATCTTGGCCAATTCACGACTAAATTCTTTAATATTGGCAAGGATTTTATTTTTCATATCCAATTCCTCGTCTACCATTTGTTCTAATAACGACACCATATGCATAATAACAACTTGATTTCTTTCCTCTTTTTGTTCCTCTGTCATACCAACTTCAGTCCATATCGCACGTAGTTTTAACAAGGATGTCTCCAAATTGCTTATAATGTTTTCTCTCATTTCCCTATGCAGCATTTGAAGGTATCAAAAATCAATCAGTCAGTAAGCTATCTCCTATTCATTTGGTAACGAGTTCTACTTAAGACAATGCCAATGGTAGTTTAATATCGATGCAGAAGCTATCGTGTTATTCAATGTCAATAGCTACATTCTTAATACTGGCATCATATAAATTGATATTCTCAAAGCAATCATGATAGTAACATTTCCATTTGTCCCGATGCTGTCATACAAAAATAGAGCTAATTGAATAGATCAGTTTTATGTGTGAATTGAGCACTTATTTATCAGCTAAACTATCATTGTATGATATTAACTACTACATTACAGTCAATTTTAAAGCAATTATTGGCTATGGCACTGCAATTGCAATATGTCAAAACTATGACTGAAAAACCTAGCAGAAAAGAATGGATAATTTGAAATGAGGGAAGCAAGGCAAAGCCACATATAGGTCGAGACGGTTATGTGTATGAAGTGACGACAAAGTTATTCCATTACAGTGACGTAGAGCGATAGTTAATGTGTAGGAATGATTGGATTGAAAGCGGGTATTAATAAAGTATTTATCCTTATTTTTCTTTCCATGAGTGAAGTCACGTTGGTAAGACTAGATTGTATGAATGGTGAGAAAACAGTATGTTGCTGGGTTTAATAAAACGACATTGAGAGAGTGCGATAGTCCTCTCCTTGTTCTGGGTTTGTTAACTTGAACATTATATCAACATGAAGATCCTAGGATTGTATTTAAAGCTGGTACTAATAAAGTATTCATCCTTTTCTTTTTGCTTCCATAAGCAAATTTGATGGTTGTAAGAATAGACTGTACTCGCTATGAGATGGGTGGTAAGAAAACGAGTGTGGTTACCCAAGTGGAATGGATCAAAATTGGAGGCCAATCGTGTTCTCTTTGGTCTGGTTTTTAACCAGTTGAACATCCTATCCTCTGAATATTGAACAATTGAAACTAAACATTGTCTAACTTGATAGTCATACTTACAAATTGGTTCCCATTTTGTGCTTGTTTGATGGATGCAATAATGACTGATCTTGATATTATAATAATTAATGATAATAATTGTAGTCCAACACAGTGGAATATGTGCTTCAAAATGAATCACTTGATCTGCTTTGCAATTGGCTTGTTGACGATTCCACTGGAAAGGCACTATTGGGCAAACAAATGTCAGTTCTATCTCAAAGTAATACTACTGAATGGCGATAGCAAGGAAAACAAGAGGAAACAACTGATTTTACCTTGGATGCGAGTCCGCAATTAGTCGATGGACACTTTTCCCTTTCTGCAATCAGCAAATCACCGACGAATGTTTTCCTTTTTAAATTTGAATTTGCAAGGCAAATAAAGCAGGAGCTCGCTTGACGGTTATATGAGCACGTGATGGCCTGCGATTAGCCAATAGCAGCCGGGGGTTGTCTACTGTACTGTACGGTAGTCAATATTGTGTCCTGTACTGTACGCAAGCGCGTGTTGGCGTCTGAGAGCAACTACGCACACTCTATCCGTTCCTTTCACTGATTTACTTTACTGTACACGTACAGTACTGTATAGTACAGTACAGTAATGTGACGTGTACAGTACTGTACAGTACTCCACTTAACACGATACTGTACTGTATGACATGGTTAGCTAACTTAGCTTCATCGAGTCAATATTGTGTACAGTACTGTACTGTACACTTTACAGTACATAGTACAGTAATGTAACTGTACCGTACTGTACAGTACAGTATGGCGTGATACTGTACAGTACTGTACTCCCAGAGTGATCTGTACTACTGTACAGTACAGTGTACAGTACAGTACAGTACTGTACAGTATATCCCGATCGCTGTACTGTACACTGTACACTGTGCAGGATGGTCGATTCTTCCTGTACTACAGTACATACTGTATGTCATTATTGTCATACTGTACAGTACTGTACACTGATACACTGTTATACTGTACAGTATACACGTACGCAAGCGCGTTCCCGTCTGCGATTAACTACGCACTCTCTTTCCGTTCCTTTCACTGATATACTGTACACTATACAGTACTCGGTACCAGTTACTACCGTATTGAAATTTTCCAAATGGTAAAGACGTGCAGGCAGTACAATACATCGACAAAAGTGTGTAAAATCAATGTCGTACTATTTCCTAGTGTTATACTCTCGACAAAGCCTAAGCTGACGACATCTGTTTTACATGGACAAGTTATAAAAATGAAGCACTGTACAGTACAGTGTACAGTATGTCTAAGATATTTCAGCCGATAAATTTTAACATCCAAAAACAAATAAATTTCGGAAAGTGAACAAATAATACATCAATTGATGTATAATTTGTGCAGAATAAAGGGATTCCTTGATTTTGCTAGTTAAAATTTATCGGCTGAAATATCTTAGACATACTGTACAGTAGTATTAATATTGGAGTCCTTTTTGTAGTGTACTGTACTGTACACTACACACTGTACAGCGTTTACCGTCCGTCCGAGAACGTCTCTTCCGTCTGTATTCCTGACAAAGAACACATCCGGGCGGAATACGGTACTGTAACAGTATGAGTATGAGCAACGATCAAGTGTTTGAAAACGACTTAATATTCGACTTGATTTACCTTAGCCTTAATCAATCCACTCGACTGTAGACCGGAAGTGAGTATTGATCCATCTTCGTCCAATAGTTTTCATCAACACACCCTCCTTCAATCCATGCCATGCTGATGTTGCCAAGGTTAGTCAAGATTAGTCAAGATAGGCTTGATAGGATAGCGTAATTTCTCTAGCTCAGACACTGGATAGTAGGCGTAGCAGAACGTCAACAAATCAATTAACCTTTGCCGGCTACAGTGTAAGGCGGATCCATGTTTATTTCATGGAATCTAGAATCAATCATCAACAGGCTAATGAAACTGTGATTGCTCTATATCTGATGGTAGGTAGGCTACTCTTGATAGGATAACGTGACTTCTCTGGCTCAGACATTGGATAGTAGGCGTAGCAGAACGTCAACAAATCAATTAACCTTTGCCGGCTACAGTGTAAGGCGGATCCATGTTTATTTCATGGAATCTAGAATCAATCATCAACAGGCTAATGAAGCTGTGATTACTCTATATCTGATGGTAGGTAGGCTACTCTTGATAGGATAACGTGACTTCTCTGGCTCAGACATTGGATAGTAGGCGTAGTAGAACGTCAACAAATCAATTAACCTTTGCCGGCTACAGCGTAAGGCGGATCCATTTTTATTTCGGGAAATTAGAATGAATCATCAACAGGCTAATGAAGCTGTGATTGCTCTATATCTGATGGTAGGTAGGCTACTCTTGATAGGATAACGTGATTTCTCTGGCTCAGACATTGGATAGTAGGCGTAGTAGAACGTCAACAAATCAATTAACCTTTGCCGGCTACAGCGTAAGGCGGATCCATTTTTATTTCGGGAAATGAGAATGAATCATCAACAGGCTAATGAAGCTGTGATTGCTCTATATCTGATGATAGGTACATACATCTCTTCAACTTGCGAGCTACACTGTATTGTGTATTGTGGGGCATAATCAAGTTGCCTATTCACTGGATCGCTATTACACAAAAGTGCGCCCTGTAGAATGGGAGCAATCCATCGATCTCGAGCCATAACCTGGCTTATCGTGGCTATTTTTTCTCATCTCAGAGCAAATGGTCATGACTACCCTATCGATGATAGTGTTGGGCTAGGCCCAGTATTTGATGGAATTGGAGCTATCAGTGGTGGAGGTGTAAGTTGCTATTATGATGAACAACAATCTATCTTATTTCAGTTCAATCTGACTTGTTGATCAAGCGATGCATCGATATATTAAAATGGATAGTAATTGAATTTCGTAAGATTGAAAGAGGCAATGACATGTAAAACATAGATATGTTTATAAGAAAATTTCACTGATTCAACCTTGATCATTGACTATGCTTCTACTCAGCAAGATATAAACTAGACATAAACTAGCTTTCTAGTACACATCTTCGTAAAGTTATAAGCTTGATATTTTTTTTTCTTATCCACAACGAGGCACCAATTCATGAAATATTAAAATATAAACTGCTCTATTACTTTTGTCAAGGCAACATCTCGTCTATTGGTTAGTTACCCCCAAAGTCAACGAGAACAAGTTCTAGATTATTTGTTTAAGGTAATGACACTATGGAAGCAGTACATCAATGGTCAATGACGTTGTATACTTTAATCTCAGTCGTAATAATTGTTACTGTATCTGTCGGACACTTGGAGGTGTATTATGCAGTCGTGCGATTAATGATTCACAAATGTTGTAACATACTTTGAGATTCTACGCCATTTCTTTCATATTTTAACTGCTTGTTGCAAGTATTTCCAAATTCACGCTAGCTCAATTCGTCCGTATAGTAAATATCATTCTTCTTTCCTTACAGCCAAACTTTGGCGCTTCGTTGCATACCTTTAAGGTAGAAATTGGAGGAGATGGGCAAAGCACGGGTAATATTATGCAGTAATGTGCAATAAAAATGCTTACAGTACATGTATAGCTGTACAATGTTGACTTAAGATAAAGGATACCATAGAATAGCGGTAGCGTATGTTTACCAAGTAGATTGTCTACGAAATAATGAAATGATTTTCTTAATCGAACGCAGTTACACTATCGATAGGACGTATATAGATCAATCAGTTTTAAAAGATACTCTTCGCTACTTAAATGAAATAAAACTGATAACTTCCTGAATTGTTTTAAACAATAAATTAATGATAGCGACCTTAGATTCACCATGCGGTATTTTTCGACAAGCCTTATAATATCAATACTGTCCTGATAAAGTAACAAACGAGAAAGATATCCAATACATACAATGCTGTACTAGATAAGATCTGTGCTGCACTAGCTTAACTAAATTTATTTTCATTCTATACTCATATTATGAAGATGGAACAGAACCATCGCATATGCATTCAGAAGATGATGAAAACTATCAACGAGGATATGAATGGTACTTAATGGTGCAAGCGAAAAAGGTTATACGCATATTGTAATGTAATTTTAGACGTAAAACAATTTCATTATCAGCTACGAATAGATATAATTAGTACATGGTAGCTTTATAAGTTTTTAAAATTATCCATTATTTTCTCCATATTTACACAACTGATAATAAAATAAAAAGGCATATTTATAAAATAAAACACTGCTCTTGCTGTCATGTAGAGAAATCCTAATATCAAACTGTATGGTCTACCGTGGGCTTTTCCTGGATGGGTAGAAAAAATATCATCTGCACACATTTTATACCTATATTACAACCACTTAATATTTCTATTGCAATATTTAGGTTGGGAAAGGTACTCAAGATCCCTACAAATATCCCCTTATTACAGCAAAATACATTACCAAATGGCTCATGGGTGCAAGAAAGTATTATAACCTGACGATTGATTATGTTGGGGTAAGAAATAGCAAATAACTAGATATGCGTACAATTTGAAAATTTTTAATTAATTTTATAATCCAGTAAAATCTAATTGTAATGTTTCCTATAAAATACATGTCTAAGTCATTTTCTTTTGCTCATTATGCCACTAGATTTGGAACGAGAGGCCATTTAATAGCAATTATATAAAGGTAATTGATATGCCGCATGCTTTTCAAGGATGACTATTGGCTTATTATGGAGTAGTTTGAATGTTTTTCTACATTATAGGATAGATTACAAGATACAGTACGAGATGTTAACATCAATTATGACATGATTATACTCTAGGAATTAAGAAAAACTCTAAATGAAAATGGTTTGGAAAAAACTAAAATTGTCGCAGCAGATAATCATTGGAATGATATAGCATCAGCAATCCAAAATGATCCCGAACTAGCAGCTGTAGTTGATATAATAGGGTAAAGGATTTATTATAAATAAATTGTAAAATTTTATTCTTAGCAATTCATCAAAAATTATGTTACGGAAAATGAAATTTTTCTAGTGATAGTATCAGATAGATCTTAAATCCGAAATACTATTTGTATTCAGTTATTAAATGTTTTCTTATATTATGATGGCAATACCTGATTTTATTCAATCATATATGGACGTTTGAATTTCACAGAGCTCACTATCCGGGCACAATGTCACCTAAGGAAGCTTCGGCAACTGGTAAACCTCTTTGGGCGTCAGAAGATTACAGTACTACTGATAACAAAATCGGTGGAGGATGCTTTGCTAGGGTTCGAAAGTTTAATTATAATTGATGTATATGGTACTGCTCCTCTAGTTTAACTTACTGGGCGCACAGATACAATTTTACTAATTACACAAAATTGTGATTTTACTTTCCTTAGATAATTAACCAAAACTATGTCAATGGAAATATGTCAAGGTACATTTTCCGTGCCTAAACTTATGTTGAAAACTGTAGATATTAAACAGCTTTAAATAGGCCCGTTATTAATAAATATGAACTTTACGGATTGGATAGTACAATAGCATGGAATCTTGTTGCCAGTTATTACAATGGGCTACCGTATCCAAATGATGGCTTGATGACTGCAAATGAACCATGGTCTGGGCATTACGAAGTCGCAAGCCCAATTTGGCTAGCAGGTACAAAAGTGAAATCAATCGTATTACGCTAGAAATTTTAAGGCTAAAACCGAACTATTATTATATTAGCTCATACGACACAGTTTGCTTTTCCTGGTTGGTTTTATTTGAAACGAGGATTTGGATCTGGACATTTAGAGAAGAACGGCAGTTTTGTTACGTTTATCGATCCTACTAAAAAAAAGTTCGCGATTGTCATTGAAGCAATGTCTCATGAACATTCTCAATGCATTCGACCTCCTCTCCCACAGTACTCGATTACTAATCAGGTTGCGTTATTTCGATTGCAAGGATCTCTGAAAAATTTGGTACGATTCTTTATTATCAATTCAAATTAGGCATTATACTACCGTTATTAAGCGAATTTTACTTTAAATTATAATTATCTCAGGTTGATAAAGTAACATTGTGGCGTACTTGTTTAAAATTTAACGGACCTTCATCTTTGTTCGAAAGAATTGGAACAATTCCAGTAAGAGATAGAATTCCAATATTGCCTCATCTTTTGTTTTATTATATTTAAAATGATATTTGTATTTATTGAAATTTTTAGGTAGTTAATAATGTGATAGAACTGAAGATCGATGTAGATTGTACGTATACGATTACTAATACTGCTGGCCAAAGAAAAGGCCACTATCCCAATCCTCCAGCAGGGCAAGAATTTCCGCTGCCTTATCATGATGACTTTGATAGTAAGTAGATATGTGATGTACAGTACTCTCTTACTTGCAAATGGGCAACTAAATTGACAGATATGCCAAAGGATCCACTGCTACTTGATTTAATTGATTGATTGATGATTAATAGATTATCAAATAGCTAGCGAAGCCAAATATTTTGCTGATCAAACCGGTGTATTTGAAATACACAATAGCAATACGCCGAAGCATGGACGTGTTATGCGACAGGTATTTGATGAGTATTCTTGCTTATTATTGCTATCAATATCTATTTGAAATAATTTGGTTTTAAATAAGTTATTATCGTTATTAATACGAATAATTTTAAATAAATATAGATGGTTTTTAATTCGCCGATATCATGGTGTACAGATGCTGCACAGCCAATAAGCCTTATCGGTAACTCAGACTGGTGAGTCATCTTGTATTGCACTTTGTATCTACCTTGCTTCTTTTACACGTAACAGCACTATTACAATACCGAATTCTGATGCCTTTTTAAACAGGAAAGATATCACAGTGCAAACGGACTTTCTAATCGAAAAAGGCGAAGGCGTTCTAATTGCAGCAAGAATTGGTTTTGGTGGGTGCAATATTGCATTTACACCGGGAGTAGTATTGCGGATCACAATTCATGGTTATTTTACTCTCAGTGAAGACTTAGGTAGCTATGCGACAGTGACAATAAATTGTAATCATTTAAATGTATCGATTATCGAAATCAGTGACTGGTTAATCTCTTCAAGCATTACGTTGTTGACTTGCTTTATAAGGTGGCTTTCTTACAATACATTCTGGCAAATTGCTGACACCCATAGGGCTGAATACTTGGCATACTGCCACTTTAACTGTTAAGGTATTTCATGAAAAAATTTTAAACTTTTTAGCTACTCGTAGCGTATGCGGTACATACGGTAAAAACTTGCAGTAGATATTTCTTAATGCATATTATGTAATTCTTTTCATCCATGTTATTAGGGAGGCATGGCTGCTGCTACGTTTGATCACAAGCCCCTATTTAACAATATCTTTGTTGGCTATAGTGAAGGCTTCGCAGCTATAGGCGCACAATCTTTTATCCCGGTTCAATTTGATAATTTTAGTGTACGGCGTTCATAAAAAATGTAGTCCTTTGCAGGTATACTCATCAAAATTATTTCCGAAGCTGATAACGATCGTGAATACATAGATAATAGATTTATTTACTTTGTATTCGTTATCTATAAACATTTACTTAAATCTCTTTATGAAAATTTATGATAAACCAACTTTTATATCTATGGATACGATCAACATTAGCTCATCAATGCGTCCCTTTGTAATGAGATGAAAAGGCACTTCCTATATTTCCTACTTTAGTTACAGTTTCATGAGTCAGTAATAGACGTTGAAAGTTTAAAAATTTTATATATATATTTTTACAAGACGACAAAGTTGTTTAAAACAAATAAACTGATTTTTCAAGAATCATAGCACTATGCCGATATTAGCTTAAAATTTGGACTCAGGTGTAACAAAAAACGTAAAATCGTCTGTTCCTCTTCTGACTTTAACTTGCATTGCCTCTCCGGCTTTAACAATATTATAAATCTCCTTACTAGCTTTTACAGATTTTCCATTCACTTCGGTAATGACATCACCTCCCCTTAAGCCAGCTCTAATATCGATCAAATACATAAATTAGGATTAAGGATAGGATGTTGTAAACTGATTGCTGTAATATATTAGAAAGAACTATAACAAACTACCATTAGTTATACCTATAAGCTGGTGATCCAGCCGCTACATTTGGCAAAAATACTCCAGTGGTGATATCATCAAGTTTATCTGTCCTTGCTTGAATTTCTCCTAGGATGCTAGGTGTCAAAGTCAACATTGAAATCCCAATGTAGTAATCCATTCGAGATCTACGAGTTTTACTCGTTGATGATCTTAATTGTGCATTCTTTAGAAACTCCTTGGCTACGTCAATCGGTATCGCGAATGAGATGCCAGAAACTACAGCTTTCATCGTGTTAATACCAATAGCCTCGCCGTCCTAACATAGGCACAGTTATAAACATTAGAATTAACGGTCAATCCAATGCGTAATTGTAAAGACAAATGCAATACCAAATTTACTAATGGACCACCAGAATTTCCCACCTAATGACAAGAATGATGCGATAATAAATATAATCAGCCATTACTCTTTTAAAATTTAAAATTTACTAATTTATGAGGAAAACCGATGAATATCAAAAATAGTCAAAGTTTAGCTAAGGTTCTTCATACTGGCGTAACTAGTAAATATGATTGCTAAATTTTTAACCAGTAAAGAGACAATTTTATTGTCTCATTTAGTATCATTTACATTTATAGCAGCATCTGTTTGAATATATTGAATACCACTATGCAGACCAGGAACTTCACGGTGAACAGTGCTAACAATTCCTGCTGTGATCGTGTTAGTTAAGCTAAGTGGACTGCCCATAGCAATAACCCATTCGCCAGGACGAAGTTGACTAGATGATCCAAGTGCCATTGCTGGTAACTTTTTCTATTGATATGCACGTATAAAGTGATTCTCATTAGGATTAGTTTTATTTTATGCATCATCATTCTATGACATGATCAACAGTCCATTTACCGTACAAGTGATTTTATATTAAGATTAACGAAGTATAACAAAAGTGCTACTAAAAGTGATCACTTATGTAATTATAATTATGTAGGACTAGGATGCTTAAAGTCAGTAAGATATCGCTGTACTTTCTTTTTTTACGCTTACAGTGTACGTATAACTTATTGTTACTGCATTACAACGATTGAATTATCAAAAAATTGATTAATAGCTATCGAAGAAATTTCATTACATCAAATCATTATATACGTATACTGTAGTAATAATGTAGTAGTTACATCAAATTAGGATCTATTTACCTTCGTTTTCAGCTTTATCAAAGCGAGATCAGCATCTATATCAACATCGATCACCTCTCCAGCAAGTTCACTACCGTCATAAAGTTTGACTTTAACAGCGTAAGCTCGTTCAATAACATGGGCATTAGTTAATACTAATCCATCTTCACTAATAATAAATCCAGAGCCGCTTCCATGCATAACAACATCTCCAAACATAGTCCTATTGGTGGCTGCAGTTTCAACATGGACCACAGTAGGAGCTGTCATTTCCACAGCTTGCGCAATAAAATTATATTGCTTTGAACGTGGCATTTTATTATCTCTATCGATATCACTGTCTTGTGACTTTGCGTAGACCCTTGTTACCTTAATGAAATCATCCTTCTTTACCATATATTTATACCCTATCCAACTTAAAGAGCCAACTGAGGATACAGCCACAGCAGCAAACCAAGGATTACGAAAATATTTCCAAACGCTATTACGCTTACCTTGACCATATCTTGTACTTGAATTCGTTTTATGAATGGAACGTAAGGTTTGCTTAACGTATAAAGCAGTCAATTGACGGCTAGCTCGAGCTAATGTAGTAAGATTTCCTGCCATCAGCTAGTTTTCAATCAATTCCACTTGCTTCCAATATTCACAGTAAAATTTCAGCAGCGTTGTTTCTGAAGAATTTGATCTAGATGAATGATCTCATCGCCTTTTTCTACAATACCATTTGTACGAGCAGGTCATTCATACTGTACTGTAGGCGTGAACTGTATACTGTACGGTACAGTACCGTACAGTGTACAGTGTACAGTGCAGTAATCCAGTAGCAGTTTTTTGACCGAGCTTGCGACTGTAGACATACAGTACTATAGTAAACTGTAATATTACGTCATAAACCAGCTGAAGTTTTCGTCTATATAAAACTCACTAAGTTGACTGTTGAGCAGTAGTTCTGTCATGGAGGATTGAATGCTTAAGCAAAAGCAGATCGAGTTGCTATTAGAGATGGACACCAAGGTGTTGAGTAGAGTTAGCAAATAGATTCTTTATTGTAGACTACAAGCATGAGATAGTTGTGATACACGTTATGCTATCAGCCAAGTCGCATAACAGGACTGCCAATATATCAAGACGCAAATGTACACTCCATGTAAGATGCAAGCTGAAGCTGATGGATTGCAGTTGTTTCCCAAATATATAAACTCCTACATGATTACAAATTGATGATTGGGTATAGCAGCTCTACATTCTTGCAACGTACGTGCATTGCGCCAATACGGATGCAATCTTATCTTACTATTTACATCAGTTATTATAGAGGAATATTCCGCAATGATAGATAAATAAATAATAATGGCCTTGCGGATAGGTATCACCATGAACCTGATTAACGCTTTGTTGAATTTGGTGTAGTATTATAATTAATCTGCTGCCTATCAACTATGATATCTCCGTCAGCGAAGCGACAGGACGTTAAGCTGATGCATGTCTTAACATACGTCTATACACCGTACAGTAGTAGCAAATGATTGTAGAAAATAGCCAAAGCTGTAAGTGCTACAAATAACGAAACATGGCGAGCTAGTGTACAGTAGACGTGTAAGCAGACTGTAAAAGTATCTATATTTAAGAGCATGAAAGCCTATACTGTATTGAAGAACATGTTACTTACAGCACAATCGAAATCCACTACGAGTCTGTATGAGTAGCCCCTGCTAATGGGGTGCGAAAAGATTGCTTTGAAATAAAATAAGACTTATTTTCTCCCGAGATGTTATGTTACATGCAAAATCACCTCTCATCATTTGAGATACTCCAAGAAGCCGGTGTCAATCTTGTTCTACATTAATCATTCAGGTATTATCCAAGTTCGAAAATGTTCATTGAATACAGGACAATGTGAGTAGATTGAAACACATCTTAATGTATACGTATATCTTTTACATTCTAATATGATGGATCTGCTTGCAATGCTTACCTACAACAAGCCCACTTTAATCTTGACAGTGCTATAGCAGACTACAGAGCAGCATCTTACATTAGCGGTAGGGATATCTATTCAATGATACAATACAGTATACTCGCATAGATATAACTTAGGTACACTGGCGTATAGTTCCACAAAGAAATTAATAACAGATTTTGTAACTAAATTCTCAAACAATTATGTTACTAAGGTAATAGTATAACAAACTTTGACATACAATGAAGAACTTCTTACAACATCAGATCTTAGAAAAGAAGGACTAAGAATAATCATAACAAAAAATATAGCTGTTTAAATACATTGCTTAAATTGCTTACAACATTAAGATTGCGAACAAGCTCACTTAACACTTACGGAACTTGGTATGAGAACGAAATTCCATGATAGTATCACATTTTATGAAGCCGAAATCAATATAGTTGAATTACAATCGCCAACGCTACTCACATATATATATATGCTATACCTACTGCCGTCAACAGCCCTAGATTAGGTATTATCTTGAAGCAATATCTAATTTACTTCTACTAACATGTTGACAATAATAACTTATCTAACACAAGCATATAGAAAATGTACCAGTAGATCACATTTAGTTATATCGTAGCTAGTACACATGAATTACATACTCGTATATAGCTTAATAATGTTATCAACTACAATGGCGTAAGACATTTTTCGATTATTATAAATATCTGATCTATCCGAATGATTAATTATTGCTAATTGCTGATAAATGCTAGCATACTAAACTGTAAGAGGTTACTCAGTTTAATTTCTCGCGCATGGAGAATTATATGCCTCAAAAAACTAAATGCATGTTATTAAATATTAGACAGTTTTAATTGAATGCTAATTAGTAACAGGTGCTCAAATTAATTTTATTTAAAATATAGTTTAAATTTTATCAAAAAAATAAATAAGTCTTTTCATTTAAATAGATGTGCTATCATTAATATGTGTGAATACGCACAAATAATACAGTACGCCCCTTATTTTATAGCTCGTATAATGTGGACAAAAGGAATGGATACTCGATAATGTAGTTATTTGTGAAAGCGTATGTAGCTAGATTTATATGTAAACAGCCACTATAACAGCTATTAATTTAAATATAACTGACCATTGACAGCTAATCGTATCGATGTTAAGAATATTTTCATGTGAAAACAGCACTTGATCATCTGTAACTCTAGTCGCTAATTATATTTGTACCAGACCATAGAAATTTAAAATGCTTGCTCACTAAATAGCCTGTCAATCCAATAATAAACGATTACGAATGTAAAATTTACATCGCAAGAAACGGTTAAAAATATGACCATTTTAGCACTATTTACAATAATCATATTCAATCACGGTTTCTATTCTAACAATATTGTTCATATTTAACTATATGTAAGCTTCTAAACTGCTGTATAGGGCTACACTAGTACATAGTATTCAGGCAACTATTTCAGTAAGTGATCAATGAGGTAAAAAATCTTATTTTAATCAAGATTTTGTAGAAACTTCCAGCTTTAAGTAGAAATAGATAATTGATTACAGTTTTTTTGGCGTATATAAAAATAGTACAAGCCATATTCTTGTTAATAACGTTCAAACCCTTTGTATTTCAATTGATTCAATCATTTTGCTGCTATCCTTTACTATGAACTACATATTATCGACATGACAATTCAATAGTATATTTTCATAAACGGTAGTAATAAAATGATCGAAAGTATGAGTTCTGGAAATAAGTATGTGTGTTATTGCCACATAATTGAGATTCATTTAATACGTCATAACATCAGTGGAGCTTAATACGCGAGTTTATTTGATTAAATCAGCCGCATCTCCTAAATCTGAAGAGCTTTGCTATTTTTAGTTACTCAGTACTAAAAAATATAGTGCAGTACATTAAATTGACCATCCAATTGAACAATTACGTAATAGATAGATAGAAATCAACAGAAACCAATTATGCAAAGTTCATAACCTTAACTGAGTCATAATAATTCCTATGCCAACGCCTATTTTAATTCTAGTAGCGCTCTTAGAGATTAATCTACAATCGATTCATAACTGAATCAATGACTACAATAGTCGATATGCATACGTATTATCATAGAACTTGTATTCATATTGTAACAGATTATGGCCTCAATAACAGGCAGATTAATATAAAACAAAGGCACGCCGAAATTAATTATTCATTCGCTATCCATGCAATATTAATTAAATAACTCGGATATCACTACCGTCTTGAGCTCACGTGAGTAAATAAAAACTTATTTTTGGGCTTTTATTCGGCATGATTATATTAAACAATTGCCATGCCAATATATATTATGAATAGAGATCGTTAAACTAATACACGATTACTGCTAACTAGTGTGATAGACCTGTCACCATTCTTTAATATAGATTTAATGTTAGCAAAGCGAAAAACACCAATTATCGTTTTAATTGCACGTCTAATTCAATGATTAATAGGTGAACTCTATCTTAAATGTAGCCACAAAGTAGCAAACTAGCAATTACAGGGTCATTACTAAATTTTTTGTCGAATCTTTATCAATATTAGAGAAGATGCTACACTAATCTTCAAATAGAATAAATAGAATGATTGAGTAATACTATATCGAGTAGCTATCGGTATTCAAATATATCGTTGACAACAATTGGATCAAGATAACCCAAGTGATTGAAGTTGATTTCAAGTTTCGTCACGATGGCAGAAAATAATTCGACATCAGATCCTTTAGGGTTAGAAGGTGGCGATAACGTCTTGCAGCTAAATGTTCCTTTTTCTAGTCAAGTTCAATTACCAAATCATCTATCAGATAGTAAAGGTAAATTACACTATGATTCTAAAACTACTACTGCACACTGAGATATCAAAAACCGCTAAACACTATTGTCGGTGAGAAATAATCTTATTTCTATTTTGACTTTATTTTCGACCTAACTGTAAGCTTATAGACACACTGTAACTATGATACCTAATTAGATGCGGCACTCTGATTTACGATATGGGAATATGATTATTTTCATGTTGTATAGTTACTCAAATTTGTTTTATCAAATACGCTGGATAGCTCAACAGATACTACAGATAGACACAGAAAACTGATATATTATTAAAGATTGCGGTAATTATCCATTAAATCACTGTCAGTGCACTAAATATTGATTATTAGAATGATTTCTGGCCGTGATTGGGGTTTTTTCGATATTGCGGTGACCTACTTCATTTAATTGTAAATATAAAACTTTTTAATCTTTTCGTTAAAATTCTTTTTAATTATACAGTTGGGCTGTAGATTTTACTTTATCTAGCATGGTGATCACACCAAATATTACATTGCTCTAACAATTGAAACTCTTAATTACCTATTATTCATTGTGATTAACGATATGATTAGTCTGAAATTAGTAAAAATCGACGAAAAATCTGATCATAATGAAACGCCAAATAAAGTATATTAAAATAGGAATTTTTCCTGGTAATATTACGAATCATCATTTACTGTAGTACAAATACGGTGCTCTAAACATATACTTAAATGATTGCGTTGTCAAATAATTTTGCCATGTACACTGATAGAGCTTCAGAAGTAATTATTATTTCAGCTTATGTACTATTCCTATGCATAACTGACAACAGAATTATTTTACATATAGTATAAATAGTACGTATATTCGAATGGAAAGATCTAATAAGTTACAATTCTCGTATTCAGATATTAACCGTTATGCTATCTAAAATTTGAAGTATGAGCATTTATCATGTAGATCAGAATAACAAAACATATGATTGATTGGTATATACTACGGACATATTTTGATTCGGGTGATAGATATTCATTATTTACTTCTCGCATGCGATTACAGCATAACGGAGTTCCTGTAATCTATAAATATACAGGTGTAGCGTGTAATCAAATTGAAAGATTTGATTTGCTAATTGTAACTAACAACCTGACAGTTTTATTTTCTTCGAAAGGTAATAAAGTCACAACAGTCCAGCCGTCGTCAATTATTCCTGTTAATGATGGTGGTAGGTTTGATCGAGATCCTGATGTACTCTTTCCTCCACCTCCATATGACAGGAATGAAGTAGAGAATGACTGCCAATCACGAAGTATAAGTCGGGCAAGTCGAGCTAGTCGAGCTAGTCGTGCTAGTCGTGCTAGTCGTGCTAGTCAAGCGAGTTCGTGGATGACAACGGCTTCGAAGGCTAATCAATACCAACAAGTACGGCATGTGATGCTTAATAAAAATATAAATTGGTCTGGTCTCTCTTGTATTCAGCGTAAAAGTGACATTATTCCCATCCAAGAAAATGAAGGCGCTGATGATACTTATTTACCTAACTACGAAGAAGCTACAACAGTTCAAGCATGGAAAAAAGTAGCCAAGTTTTGGGGCTCTTTCAATAAAGTTTATGGATCAAAAGCCAATAAAATTCTTCGGGGTATCCATTTTTTCTATTTTTGGGTAGCATTAATATTTCCAGTGGTAGAATTTGCAATTAAACCAGAAAATTTTGCATTTAACATCACTACTATAACATTTTCAGTAGTTTTTGCTGGCTTAGCAGTAGCTGATCTAGTCATAACATACCGTAAAACTGATGACGAAGTTTTTATGAGGAAATTTCAATTTGTACAGCGAATTGCTAATATTTTTGCATTATATCAACCGATCATATGTGATGTAATGGCTTTTGTGGTTGAGAAATATTTTAGGGGGAAAAATTGGTATGATAGTATCTATACAATCTTGTTAGTTTACGCTATACTTGAATTTTTTGCATTGGTGGGTGAGCTACTATTTATGTTACACAAACTACTGAAAGACTTTCATAGTCGACATCCTGCTGCAAGTACTACTGGAATCTCACTTGGCATTCCATTCGGCTTTCGTTTATTTATCGCCTTTATTATGAATATTGCCGTATTTATTGTTATGATATGTGCATTTGGTATTGAAGCCTACGAGGAAAATTTAGCAAGTGAAAATTATCGGACGACGCATACAAGTAGATTTATGATTTTTATGATCATCATTATACCCTGGCTTAATCTGTTACTTTTTATAGCCATGAATTCACAGTGCTATTATGAAGTACTATTAATCTTATGTATGGATGAAGTTATTGATGAAGGGGGCGATGAGGCTGAAGAAATGACAGAGCGAAAAGAAGACTATCTTAAAATGGATAAAGCCATTCGCTTCTTTGATTACATTACCGATTCTTATGTTCTTTTAACTTTATTATCATTATGGTACCTCCTACTATGGATTTACTTCATTGTGGTTGTAGGTATACCACGAAATGCGTTTCCAGCTTTACTGATCCTTACATTAATAGTTCTCTCCAATCCGACTGCGTTTATTTATGCTTCAACCACTATCATTTATAATATTAATAAATTATTGATCTACAGTATACTATTATGTCGAAAATCACATGATAATACTGACGAAGATCCCGAGGATCCAACCAGACCGAGAAAAATACATAATTGTTGCGACTGCCTCTTTGCTTTACCTGTATATATTACTTATTATTTGCTCAAGATATTGGAATATTTTCATAGGCTAATAGAAGACCAAGATGCAGTTCTTCGAGTTCCCGCTGTATTTACTGAGTGTTGTAAATATTCTAGTCTTGCTTAAAACTAATGTTATGTCTCCTTCTGTGTTAAATTTATGGACTGACACGTGTTTTATGTATTGTATTAATACCGGTTTTTAAATACGAATTGTAGCTTCAAATAAATAATCTAAGCTCTACATTATTAGACATTGATTAAAGTCGATGCAGCATCTATTTATCATTCAATAATTGCTTAAACTGACAATGTATAGTACTCATAAGCAATGTTATTTGAAATACACATGGCCGCCTATTACAGTACTGGCTTACAAGTTAAATTAAAATTCATTAATATATGGACTGACGTACGTACTTCTCTACAAAATTTTGTCATATTCGAATAAACTATAATAATCAATAAAATTGAAATAATAAATTAAATTTTTATCACATAGTTACTTCATTAAACCTGTCAACTTACGGTGAATGCAGTGATTTAATATATTTCAAGATGCAGTTCTTCGAGTTCCCGCTGTATTTACTGAGTGTTGTAAATATTCTAGTCTTGCTTAAAACTAATGTTATGTCTCCTTCTGTGTTAAATTTATGGACTGACACGTGTTTTATGTATTGTATTAAAACCGGTTTTTAAATACGAATTGTAGTTTCAAATAAATAATCTAAGCTCTACATTATTAGACATTGATTAAAGTCAATGCTGCATCTATTTATCATTCAATAATTGCTTAAACTGACAATGTATAATACTCATAAGTAATATTATTTAAAATACACATGGCCGCCTATTACAGTACTGGCTTACAAGTTAAATTAAAATTCATTAATATATGGACTGACGTACGTACTTCTCTACAAAATTTTGTCATATTTGAATAAACTATAATAATCAATAAAATTGAAATAATAAATTAAATTTTTATCACATAGTTACTTCATTAAACCTGTCAACTTACGGTGAATGCAGTAATTTAATATATTTTATTTAATTAACACGATAAAAAGACGGATAACGACTTCATCTTTTATTTGCTACTCTTTAACGACATATTTCATACGTTCGATATATTTAAACGCAGTAAGTCACGTTAGTGTGAAATTCTCCCATCAAATCTTAATCAATATGCAGTTATTGATACTATCTGCCAATAAGGCTAGCTTGTTAACCGAATAGTATTATGTACGCAATTGGAAGGTTACAACCTACAATTATGTAATAGTTATAAATTTAATAAATTATGGTATGTGCACATATCCAGCAGTTATAAACATCGATACGGATGAGATATTGCGTTGACACTTGATTGGAGATTCTCATCGATAGTAAGTGAAAGCTAGCAATAACATTAAGCAACTGGAACACATTCAGTTTCATTATCTTTAGTTACTAATTGTATTAAACTTCCGTTATCAACAGGCTTCTCATTGGAGATCCAAGCATGAAATAGTCTACATGAAGATGTCATAATAACATTAATAAAATGGTCATTGAAATTGCAAAATAAAAACAAGAACTTACTCAGCAACAAACGTTAAGGGTGTCCATGTACTGAAATCTGCACTTGCCATAAATTTTCTGTTCATGGGCGTATCAAGCGTAACACTGCCGAAAAAAATATTGCGTACTTTTAAATTATAGATCTCTTCATTATAATTGTTGTTGTTGTCGTTCATATAACATACGGTAAAATGCCAACGGCCCTAGCATTGGCTGGTAGTCCACTGTTTGTGCTCGCTAAGCTCTTAACTAATTGATGGACGGCAGCTTTAGCCAATCCATATCCAATCATGCCTGGAGTTCCACCCAAAGCTGGTTGTGCACCAGTCAAAGTTAGTAATCCGCCTCTAAAGTAAACAAAGAGGAATAGCTATTTAATGGTGGTGTGTCTTAGTAAGACTTGCAATTTGAGTAGATTTTAATGTAAGCTGTTCAATTTTAGTGATGTCTATGCAATTATAATTATCATCTAAATTTTACATTGATAATTTTATAATCAAAATAAGCATTAAACATACTCTTCTAGGTATTTAGCAGCAATTTTAGCAGCAATTACGGACGTCCAAACACTTTGCTTCCACATTAAATCGGAATTCTTGACTAAATCTATATTACAATTGCAAGGTGATCCATATCACATACTGCATACTATTACTTTGGCAATACAGACACCATTATTATCATTAGGTATCTCACCATCTGAAGCAGCATTTCCACCTGCCCAGCCTCCAGCTACGCAAAGAACAGCAGAGAATTTTCCGTCTTGTAAAAGATCGCTCAAATTGGATAGGACCTAAGATCAAAAGCGCGATTACGTAACTTTGGTAACCGTTTCTAGTGGATACCGATTTTTTTACATTAATAGGCCACTGAGATGTAAGTAGTTTCACTATTTTACTCGATTTTACTTGTAAACTCCATACTGTATGTTAATCCTTCAATTTTGTACTCATGCGCTACTTAATTTCCGCTGCATACTATGATTGTTAGTATTTAATATGACTTACCTTTTGCTCTTGCTCTACCCATGAATCATTCACCGATAGTAGTACGTTAGCATTTGCATCAGGATTTTCAAAGATATCTGCAGAAGCGACCCACTATAAAATAGCCAGGAAAATGCAATCAAATGAAAACAATAGCCACGACTTAGGCATTGGTTGATTCATACGACGATAAAATTGCAATTTATCATGTTAAAGAGTGCCATATTATTTTGTAATTTGAGTGGTATCCACTCTGTATCTGGGGTATGACTCTTCATAGCGTAGCGCGATTCAATCATTCGTCTATTCCATTTCCCATTGCAAGAAACTACTGGTGAGTAGAAAAACTATAACTATATGAAGACAGGGTTCATTTGCAGTGTACTTCATTAATTCTGGACCTTTAACAGGCCTATTCGTGAAATCATACTTCTCAGCTCTAGTGTAATTTGACCATAGATATATTCAGATTCAGACATGGGTTATTTGACATATCGCATGCATCTGGTAATACAGTACGCACTAGTGGAGTACAGTATGTTCCCTTGGCGACAACGGCATCGGTGACGATGTGAAATTTTACTACGCACTACATACGGACAGCTAAGCTGTAGAGTGCATTCGTAGTAAGATTAATGATGTAGGTAATGTGAGAGAATAAAGTAGCTGGATGAAGAAAAGAAAATTAATTTTATTTCCATTGTAAGATGTTGGTCGTAGAATTGGACCCATTTTACAGCAATTGCAATGGTAGCACACTAACACCTGTACTCATGGACTACTCGTGTTGCTGCCTGCTGAATAGATTAGCTGTAGTGCATACAGAGCAGATCGTATTTCGGCATCAAAACTACTGTATCAATGCAGGATGTTAGCATTGTTAGGAACTTGATGGAAAAGATAAGCAAGAGCCTGTTTCAATTTTTAAGACTGTTCAAGAATAACACTATAACAGATCAAATGTATGAATACCTGGTAACCTATTGTCAACAGTCAACAGTGAATGATTGGTGAACCTACTATACAGTCCTATATTACATCCATCCTTTTTTTTTTTATATCTCCTTTACAAGCAGGCACTAATGCAGTTACCAACTAAACTAGTCGTTGTATAAAATGAATGCGTTGTATCCGATCGCTCGCATACCCATTGCTTGGAACGAAAGAACGTCACCAGGGCACTACCAAGAGCTCCTTTTCCTCCATAAACCAACACTTTTTTTGTCACTGGAGAACAAAGAAACAATCAATCCATTTCAATACAATACTGATGAGTAGCATGTTGTATCCTTATTCCAATCTAGATTGAGCTATCACCTACTTTTCTCAACAAATAGTGAATAAAGTTCTCCGCGATGATTTCAAAATGTTGGTTATTTAGCCAGGCTACTAAACTGAATATGCTTTGGAGCCTCGAGGTCGTGTTGGAGGTTTGGCCTTCAAAATCTGTCGCCAGTGCAGAGTACAGTACAGTACTGTACTGTACTGTACCGTAGGTGTACAGTACAGTACAATATTTGTAATACGTACTGTACACTGTACTGTACTGTACTGTACACTGTACAATGTACATCCATAAACGTATTCAATCATAATCATAATTATTATCCTAAAGCTCTTAACCTTCTCTTCACTGTTATACTCTCTAACATTATATTATATGTACTGTACTGTAACTCACTATATTCTTGCTTGCCTTTTAATAAGTCTACAGCATAACATACAGTCTATTACAACCTCGTTTTTTTCTCAACTTCATGATTACAACCTATCCACCTTCCTTGCTTAACTGAACCCGAAAGGTTCAAGCATACACAGTGTACAGTACACTACTGTACTGTACACTGTGGGGGGATGTACTGTACACTGTACAGTACAGTACAGTATGTGTGCAGAAAGCATGACCGCCTTGAATCAAATTGTGGATTCCTCGACTGTACAATGTCTCTATCAAGGATAAGCTTTTATAATGGAAACCCTACAGCTCGAAGTTGATCCACATGTAGCGTCGATTTCTCCATGAGGGGTGGACGAACTTTCAACACGCGTTATTACAGTACAGTACATTGTACCATGACCATAGTGCTACTGTAGGGTACTGTACTGTAACTGCAAGTTAGTCAACTGACCATAGACAAAGCGACGGATTTGCAAAAAATGGCGGAAAGCAAATTTAATTTGGGCAATTCAATTACTAATTTCTCAACGCCACACTTACAGAAATCAATAGCAGGATTAAATGCCGAGTCAGGAATCAGCAGCAAAGTTGAGGTTATTCTAGTTTGTATCTTACTGGCGAAGAAATAATGTTACTAAAGAAAACTCATGCTAATTATAAAACAATAGTACCCTAGGTTTGCAATTTTGCAATCTCTCTCTATTATAATCACCAGGCGCTAGTTTCCTTGTGGTCAGTAAAGCCCGTAATGGCATGCAATGACATCGTTGACTTATCAAACAAGTTATTCGACTATTTCTCATCTACAAATTTCAATCAATTGGTACACAGTTATCACAACATACTTACATCTAGTGTGGTGATCTGTTTAGTACTGCATAATCGATTAGGATCTCCAAATTGCATCGCGCATTTTGCACACCTTCATTTTAGGAAAATTACTTTTACTACGCATAATGCTGCTAAGAACAGTGTATAATACTGTACCACTATTTGCAAATGATGAATTGATTTAATTTAGCCACTGCTTAACATATCAACGGTTGTTCATTCATTTTAATTTTGTATTTATTTTGATACTGTTATTGACCATAGAGGGAGCTCACTCCCAGCGTAACTTTCAGTAGCAAGAAGCATCAGAGGTAAGACCATCACTTAATTTGCTATTTTGATACCTACCACTTGCATTGGTTACATCATCATTCATTTATCTTTGCTTTTAGTGATTTCGAAAATGATCAATTTAAATCTCCTGCTATTAGTAACAAAGTAAGCCGTTTTCTTGGATTTGATCCTCATATATCTAGAGTATTTCTGTTGAGGAGTAACTACAGTAAAGTAATATCATACACGTAGATAATTATAATTAGTATAAGCAGAACTAGAATTGCAATCGCATCGAAGCAACTATGCGACATCACTTTACTCAACATAAAGCTTAGATACATATTTAATAAGCCTTTATACACTTTTGAAATTGATGATTAGGACATCAAAAAAATTGAAAATAGACTGTTCGAGATTCGCCAATGTAAGATTATGATTAATTATTATTACAATAAATGGTATGCCTTATCAATTATTGTGTAATGAAAAGTATAGGAAATGAGTAGACACTGTGTTTGAACTGTCGGCCATATAATCTTCACATGTTCTTTAGCACTCCAACAGTCATTTTCGAAACCATCGGAATTGGATAAGAGCCAATCATCTTGTAAGTAATGATGTACAATCACATGAAACTACAGCGTCGACTTTATTTAGTGCTAACTGAATAACTTAGTAAAGCATAAACGTTTATACAAACAGTTTCATCTCAGAATTTGGAATTAGGACCTGTCGCATATCAGGTGAATTGAAGAAGTTTCTTAATGATATACTCAATACAGTTATGACATACTTTACAGCCAAACTACGACTAAGAGTATTGATCAAGTATAAAATGCTATGAATTTGGAAATTTTCCATGGTAACCGACTAATTATAAGTTATTTACATTGTACCTTGCTATAGGATTCTGTAATGCTTATGGATCACAGAGGTCTCACTGCACCTACTATTGTTACCAAGGAAATAAGTTTAGATGAAGTAAGTATCTACATTCTAATACCGGTGATGTTGTTAAAAGATTATTTGTATTTACAAAGTAAAACTGTTCAAAATATGAGCCTGCAAGGAAATGTTTATGACTGATATTTTAATTGGTTCTCTAGGATGCTATTAATTCAAGAAAGGATGACAGGGCAGTGACAGATTATGTTGATCAGATTGAGACAGGTTACTACCTAGTAGTGTTTAAAGAATAGATGAATGTACTACCGTATTGTCTAATAGGAAATTCTTATCCAAATAGTTTTACAATTTTTAACTCTTCAACTTGCGTTACCTAGATTTTTCGGGGCTGATTGAAGATTTCTTTAAAATATACACTGCAAGTACTAGAACGTTAGACCCTCTCGAAGCTGTTAAGGAGTATGAAAAGGTCAAAATGTTAATCAACACCTCTGCGATTTACAATTGATAATGATAAATACAAGAGTAAATCGTTCTACGCCACCTGGCTTAATAAATTATTTAATTTAACCTTAACACAGATTTGTCATGAACATCTACTTATGTTGGAAAGTGCAGTCAAGAAATTAGTACCTGGACAACGCAGGTATGAAACGATACTATGTTATGCTTTCCAAACTATCACTATAAAAGATCCAATAAACAAATGTTAATTGACTTGTTGCATGGCTATTAGATCTCAAATTTTACAAGAAAAGATAACTGAATTAAAGTCAGAAAAGTATACGTGGCGTTTAATACATTCAATATATAAGTAAGTTAAGATTTTATTATTGTTTAGCGCTTGTATCATAGTCGAACGGTAATATGAAGTAAGAATTTGAATTGTTACAACAGGGACAGGTTGTTATCGTCTGAAGAACGTATGGATTTAGAAAATTCATTACTAGATTTGGTAAGTAGATTTTTGATAGTTCTGTTTGTGCCGCTTAGGTTATTAATAGATCGTGTATACTTCTGCTACAATCTAGATAAAAAATCAGTCCGATAAAAAAATTGTTGATAACCTGTACGATAAAGATGGTGAAATACGACAAGCACAGGTTAGAGTCTAGTAACTGTTGCGTTTAAGTTTCAACCTTACAACTTATCCTATCGTTCTAATTTATACTATCGAATACAGTTGGTTATTGATTGGCTGGAGAATAATGCTGGCGATGAATTGGTCAATTTTCATGAGAAAGTGGAGTACTTTTCCCGTCAAGTGTGTTGGTAGGTTTCAACTGTGATATTATCTACATAAAAATTACCATTTACATTTGTATAACAACTAGTATCCATGGAGTAAAATCCATAATAATAATATAATAATCTTGCACTAGGGAAAATACTCTGCATGATATGCTCTTCCCTAAGCTTGGCTCTCCCACAGTTGTCAAGGAAATGGTATGAAGTATATTGCCTATGACCGCTAATAATAAGGTTAAAATTAACACTTACAATACGACTACTCTCTTGTATTTGATGGTATTCCAAGGATCCTGACGCACCTATAAGAAGTGGGCTTCCTTTGATGGACCTCGATGAGGTGAGACAGTTATATAAAGTGCTAAGGAAATGTTGATGTTAATACTAATAATGCTACAAAATTACAGGAGGATGATGCTAGACTACTGAAGCATATTTTTAGACTCGTTAGAGCAGGACAAGTTACCAAGGTTGAAATTGAGGATATTAGGAGCTTTAATATATTAATTTTATATGGACAATTTGTAAATCCTTAGTAACAGTTATCATTAGCGAAATAACGTTTATTGTACTTGACATGGTAATAGGCTCAAGAAGTATGTATAAGATGCGGTCAAGCATGGAGGGCTGCTACTTTGGAAGGATGGAAAATGTGGCACGATGAAAATTTAGAAAGTGGTAAGAACCTATTTGTGATGATCGTAACTTAATGCTATTTAGACTCTTTGAGACTCAATATGTATACAGGTCAGTCATTTGCTAATGTTTCTTTCATTTTTTATCTTACAATGAAAGTCCCACAGGATGGAACATTATACGAAGTAAAGGGTAACCCCAATCGTGATATCTGGAAAAGTTCCTGTTGGCAACTTTCGGAGCAGGTGCCTTACCACGGCATTGGTTTACATTAATTTACATAAGCGACGATATGTAGGAACACAACTTCTTACATATAAGTATTATTATATTTTAGGCGAAATTTAATCGTTATGAGAGGGCGCTCTATGGTTGCCTGAGTGGGAACTTGGAAAAGGTTTACTTTTTAGCCATAATTTAATTTTGCATATGATGTATGATGATAACCATTCCGGTATATCGTTCGGATAGGTGATACCAGTTTGCGAATCTTGGGATGATTATTTATGGGCATACTATAAGTGCTTTATCGATGAAAGGGTAGAACAGGTTGGTAGAACTAATCAAAATTTGGATTCAAGGGATATGCACTAATTCTGTATTGGTTGTACGTCCATTCCTTCTTAGGAAATTCGCAGTTACCCTCGTCTCTTTCGTACCCTAGTACCACTTCCGGTCGGCCTTACTGCAGAGTAAGTAATTAGATACTCTTCCGTAATTAGATTTGTACTAAATTATATTAATTTATGTATTTATTTAATCAACTGTAGTTTAAATCCAGAGAAAATATTTGATGCTCTAGATAATAATTCCAACGAGGTATTACCATCTTTTGTAATGTTTATGTTGTTTGTTAATACTTATGTTAATATACATAATTTGTAAAAAATATTCTTATAGAGCGTTCGACATCACGCAAGTTGCTACTACCAAACCGCTCAAAAACATGTCATTCTAGATGATGTAAATGGTAAGGATGGATAAAGAGATTTCAACAAGGATTAGCTTCAAAAACCTAAACGTTATTTAAATTCTGTTAACAGATTTTCTGGCAAAGTCAATATCCTGGATTGGTTCAAATGAAAGATCATCCGATGTCCTTAGATTTCTTGTTTGTATTTATTAAATAACCGTTGTTTTTCTCTCTAGAAATGGATAGAAATAATCGTAATGATGATGTATTATATCTACAATTGTAGACCCATCTTGCTTTGTTCTTAAGAGGTATCGGCTTAAATTTAAATGACGAAGTTTGTGATAATGTTATTGAACTCTACGTTCAGGTAAGCCTGCTTATCAGTAAATACATAATTACGACATTTATATTCTTACAATATGCGCGGATCGTGGTGTATGTTAAAATTAATAATGATGCGGAACTTTTTGTTCATATATATATAGGGTCTAATCAAAGCTGGGAAAATCGAACTAGTATGACTTGATAATAATTACAAATACAAATATCCCTGTTATGCTTGCCGCATAAGCGTGTAACACAATTCTCTTGTAATTGTAAGGTTGCTACATATACTGCTGCGTTACCGTCTCAATCACAAATAGCAGTATACGCCAAATTCTTAGAAGGTTAGCAAATTGTATGGATGTATTGACATTTCGAGTGCACAAAGTCTGAGTGAAGTCTATTCGTTGTTGATTCTTAGGCATCCATGACAAATCTGAACGACAAAGGTGTTTGCTGCTTGGAGAGCAAGCTGGTATGAAAATTCGCAATGTTTTAAAGTACTATTTGTATAATTTGAATGTGTTCATTTTGGAGTTTACCGTAATTTTTGTCAGGTCTTAACACTGATGCCATTACGAAAGCTGTCGTTGTTAGTGTTCATCAATTTAGACGGGTAAGTAATACTTACTATTTACTTATTTTTAATCTTACGTGTAAAATTAAATTAATTGATATCAAAGATTGACTTTTACCTTGGCTTCCGTCTTTATGATAGATTTACTTTCTTTTCATATATAGAGTGATGTGTCAAGAAATATTGATATTACCAAGATTATTAGTGGCGATATATCAGATACTGATAGAGAGAAAATTGATGCTATTGAATGGATGATATTCAATCCCTCGCAGCGAATAGAAGCAATTAAACATGCTAATGCCGTGATGAGATACTTTATTGGTATAAATATTTAATTATTTGTCAGTCATGGAGTTAAATTAGTTGTTATAGATTCTTATTACGACCTATAGCATGTAGAAAACACTCTGCAGCTAGAGAAGTTTACACAAAAGTGCCTTCTGGTTCTATAGATCTCGTCTACAAGCAGTGGCAGACGAGGGTTTGTGTTAAAACTTGTAATCCTTAATTGATGTCAGCAAATGTTATTGGTGCTATCTTGAAAATTGTATGATCCATTCGCATAGGCTGGTGAATCCAATCTACCTGCGGATGACGATAATGCTATCCGTGAATTTTTATGCATTCAAGCATATTTGGTATAGATTCTAGAACCTATTCTGAATATTGTAGCTAACCTTCATAGCACGCCCATCAGGTAGAAACTGGCATTTGTTGATTCGAATTTTTTTAATTTTAAGGATGCTCATGAAGCTTTCACCGAATGGTTTCAACAGTATTATCACGGAAAACCGGTATAAATTAGTGGATCGATTCATCAGATATTAGCATCTTATTTTGAAAGATTTTTTCATGTTCATTGTAATGCAGGAGGAACCTCATGTTACTCAAATTAGTAGACAGCAAAGCATCGCTAAAATTGCTTATGAAGAAAAGACAAAAGCATATCGGGTTTGTATTATCTAATCTTTGTAAAATCATATAGCTAAATGAAAGATAAGATCCCATTTTTTTGTATTACACTGTTTGTGATTCTAGTTGGAATTGGAACGTTGGGAAAGGAATATTGAAATATATTCCAAGGTATTGGACTTTATGTTTATTGGTACAATATTAGTATTAGTGGGTAAATATGTAGTTTACGACCGATTATATAGGATGCCATTGAAAAATTATACAATGTGCTTCTCTTCGTCGATGGCGGCTGGATGGTTGATGCTCGAACAGTACGTACCCTGCGGATAGTCTAGCTTTAGTGAGACTCTAATTCCTTTATTTCTTCTTGTTAATACATTGTGTCTATGATATATACTATAGGATGCTGTCGTAGATGAATCTAGAAAACATCAATTGGAAGTTTTACGCCAGCTTTGCTTACCTTTGATCTGTTTTTTGTTACAAACGGTACTACAAGCTACTCAACAGTATGATCAAGTATGTATCGAACCCAGTATAGATACGAACGTTATTTGAGTTATTATGGTGTTTATAATGCAACAGTGTTTTACCATTCATGTTTTTATTATCCACTTGTTAGTATTAATATGATTATCGTATAATTTATAGAGCCTACGATTGGCGGTTGTCATAGCATCTGAACAATATAAATTATACGAGGTATAAAGAATTGGTTTACTCTTTATAGTAAGTGAAAATCATATTCATTACAATAAGCTAAAGAATTTCTTGACATCATTGCAGACATTTCGCCCTGATGAATTGCAACAGTTCCTACGACTTTTATGTGAATCAGCGAAGGAAATATTAAGCCAACCGCAACTATCAGATGAAAATAACGACAAATAGAAGGGATTAGCATTTGTGCATCTATCGGAATATATCAATCATTTGTTTTATATGTACAATTTATTATTTCGACTGTAAACGGCACTGCGATTTCTTCAATCTCTGTATATTAGTTTTGGTAAATAGCTGTGATTGGAATACTTGTTGTCATAGCAAGTGTGGCATATAATGGATTTATAGAAAATTTTATAGTATGACATGTACGTTAAAATTAATGATTAGGCCATGTTAATGTCATATGCAATTTTGTTTGTACCTTATGAAGTCTTGATATCTTTGCTTAGAAATGTAGCTCCTTCATTTACCAGAGTCTGAGAGCGCTACAATTAATCGATATGCAATTTGATTTATTGGTAAAAGATAACTTATGCAAAATGTACAATCTTTGATGAATTCTATGTTGAAATTAATGAATAGCGCGTATTTATATTTGGCAATGGGAAATAAAGCTGAACATCACGGACTACTATAAAAATTTATCTGCAACCAGTAGAGAAGAGTGCTAATGAAACTAGAACCTCTACGTTTTCAATGGGAAACTTTATAGTTTTGTTGTAGAGGACGACTCTATTGTTTTGCTTTCATTTCTGCAGGGGCATGATTGCTTATGGTTATCAACGGATGAGGATAAATCCGTTATGTACAGGATTTAATTTTTGACTGAAACTGAAGCAGAAACTTTCCTATCAGGCATACTGTAGTTACGTGCAATGTCAATTGGTCAAGTCTGAGACTTTGCACACAGTTAGCTGCAGCTTTTCAGTTCTTTTCTAGTTCCGTGCTAAAAAGACCGGCCGGTCTTTGCATATATATATGAACGTAACCGTATGCGAAGTCGGTCATTTTGCAAACTGCCCAGCAGAATACAGTTTAGATTAGTTTAGTTTCGTTTAGTTCAGTTTAGTGCAGTTTAGTTTAATTTAGATTGGTTTCGTTTAGTTCAGTTTAGTTTCGTCTAGTTCAGTTTAATTTATATTGGTTTCGTTTAATTCAGTTTAGTTTAGTTTAATTTAGATTGGTTTCGTTTAGTTCAGTTTAGTTTCGTCTAGTTCAGTTTAATTTATATTGGTTTCGTTAATTCAGTTTAGTTTAGTTTAATTTAGATTGGTTTCGTTTAGTTCAGTTTAGTTTAGTCTAGTTTAGTTTAGTTTAGTCTAGTTTAGTTTAGTTTAGTTTAGTTTAGTTTAGTTTAGTTTAGTTTAGTCTAGTTTAGTTCAGTTTAGTTCAGTACGTTGGGTTTGATTACAGTGAATTCACCTTTAAACCGAAGCAGTACTGTGCACTGTACACTGTACTGTACAGTACTGAGTACTGTATCATGGACGTTGGGCAGTGTACGTTCCAATTGGTCAACTATTTTTGCCAGTCATTTCAACTATATCCTAGGTCTGTACGGTACCCTATACTGTACTACCGACGCTGATCACCACCCAGCCAAATGAGGCTGGCACTGTAGCAAGAGAACATGCCTATAGAGCATGCGCAGAATACACCTTCAAGATGACATCAACGCGGGCGAGGAAACTCCCAGCTGGAAACTTCGACTAGACTTGCCGCAAACTACGGCGGAATGCCCTCCACTCCTTCTTGGCAAATCTCAAGAAAGTGTGGATAATCATTAGCGAAATTCCTTGATTACCTACATCAACATGCCCCTACTAGCCAAATTGTTATCCTTTAACACGTTAAAAGCTCCCGTTAAGAAGAAAGCGAAGAATCCTTATATTCGCTATCATGTTGACCCGTATTCCGAATGGGAAAAACTTGGCGAATTGGGCGATGGCGCATTCGGCAAAGTCTACAAGGTAAGGTGGAGATTTTTCTAGGCAGGAATTGATGATGGGTAGATTGTATGTTATGATGATCAAATGAATTCACTGAAAAGCTTACTATCGTGGCATGACAAGGCTTTATCGTTGTTTGTATCAATAAGTTTGGATGGGATAGAAAATGATCACGATCAGCTAAGACTAGAGGGTACATGATACTAGACATGAACTGATTGATTCGACAGAGGGGAAATATACATNTGCGTTGCAAGTGTTCTCTAACTCTTGGATTCCACTTGGAATAGGCAAAAACTACCCAAATGTTCCATCCCTCATTATTGTACAACTCATTATGGCCAAGCGTTGAGTCATGTTGTATGCCAATCAAGATTGCTAGTACATAACTACGATGGGATCGATCATCAGCTAAGACTAGAGGGTACATGGTGCTAGACATGAACGGATTGAGTCGATACAAGAGAAAGAAATATACACTTGCGTTGCAAGTGTTGTCCAACTCTTGGATTCCACTTGGAATAAGCAAAAACTACCCAAATGTTCCATCCCTCGTTATTGCACAACTCATTATGGCCAAGCGTTGAGTCATATTGTATGCCAATCAAGATTGCTAGCACATAACTACGATAGAATCGATCATTCTGATCGAAAAAAAATCCATCGTAATGCCCTCGGTTCATGCGAATGATCAAGCCTACGCTTATACCTTATTTTACAAATTCCCTTCTTTTTGCATCATGGACTACAGTCCAAAATGTTTTTTTTCCAATAAGATTCATTTGAAAAGTTTCATCTTGCTGCGCTAACAGGGAAGAAGAACTACTCGCATCAGCTTGAATAGTTTAATCGAATTGATCCTGGTTCAGTACACTTATCAAGGAAATTTTCAACTTTTTATTTTCCATCAACAATTATGGCTAGTAGGCAACGATCGATGTCGATCTTGACCTAATGACATCGACAGTAGTACAGTATCTTTTCACTTGATCATTCCCTTCTATTCAAGGGCACAGTATATCCTGCCATTAGAAATCCAAATTCATCGCTATCTCTGATCTCTGTGAACAACTACGTGTATCTTTGCCATGATGCAGTGCAATAAATAATCATATAAATAACAATAATATTAGGTAAAATAATAACTGGCAATAAATCGCTAGTTGACAATGAATGGAAAAGATTTAAAAAATATCCCAAAAATAGCTACATGATTAGAATATGACATGGCAGATGATCGTTTACTATCCCATCATGGAATGTGTGCAATAGCCCATAAAAGTAATTGTCATCTGATGCATAGAGGGCCTTTGATAGTTGTTTTAGCTTAAATTCAATTTTTTTTCCCCCTTTTGGTACCATTCTTGGCTGATAAGGATGACAAAATTCGCTGGATATTTTACGACCGACACTATTGAAATAAGATATTAATCTATGAATAATGACAACGTAATCAACGTTGCTTAGCTTTAAACTGTCATCGTACGCAAACATGAAAAAGACTTTTACTCTGATCGGAGTCAAGATCAATTCCCATTTCATAATTCGCCTGAACAATTCACTTAGACAGCGTTGCGTCGAGTTGAAAATGACGATGATTGTACAACTAAAAGTGAAAATACCCTCCCGCATAACGTTAACTTAAACTTTAATTATCTCGGATAGCAAGTACTTTACTTTTGGATCATACCGTGCTTACTGTAATAGATAGAATTTAATTGAAGCTTTTTGATTAATTATAAGGCTATCCAATTGAAGCTTTTGATTAATTATAGGGCTATCCAGATAGAGACAGAGATAATTAATTAGGAAAGTACAGCAGTAAGCATAGTAGAGAAGGATAAAGTTGTTCTGCTGCAAAATACTTTTGCCGAAAGTAACTTCCTGAGAATAATATCCATCAGAATTTAGTGGACCTCGACTAGACTTGCTTTACAATTCTAACCCGTTAGTTAAACAGTTATGACAAGCACAATGGTTTTTACTTCTTGGTTTTACTAAGTTGACATGACTGTGATCAATATTATTCTTTGGCTACAGTTAATATATCGATGGAAGAGTAAGGCAGAAAATAATAATATGTCATATTGACGTGATCAGTATCACTTTGTCGTCGGTACAGATAATTAAAGTAGAGGCAAAATTATGAGAATAACGCCTACAAGTTGATTCAAATTGCTAATACAGTACTCATTAACCAATTCATACATGTACTGTAATCTGCAATTGGAAAGAATGCAATATTCTCAGCCAATAAAGAGACATTGATGTTGATTAACATAAGGCAGAAATGCCGTTGGTAGGTTAATCATAAACAAGTTTTTTTATAGATTCATCAAAATAATTCTATAATAGGCAAAGTTAAAAGACAACAGTTGTATTGTAATGGTAGTCTGTAGAATGTCAATAATTGTTGGCAAATTATTTTTTTATATTCACTATAGCGTATATTGCTTACATCACTGCATATTGTGTTTGGATATCATGTCATGCATAAAATGATCAGTAAAAATGGTTAAACACTGGCCACGATAGCAATACTTTATTTTCCATGGAACGATCAATGATGATCATTTATTATTATAATCAAGAGAATGCCGAAAAGCTAATAGTGCTATCGTCTTGATCCAGTAATCTACAGTATAATACAACTCTTAATAAAATTACAATTTTTGTAAATTTAATTAAAAATATAATTGCCCGTTAAGGCTGTAGAAGGATGAGTTTATTAATACACGAATAGCGAACAGTAAAATTGGTAATGAACAAGTTTGAGACTTCATATTCGCCGTTATCCATTAAGGTCATTTTTTTTTGCACTTTCCAATGGGTAGGTTCGTCATAAAGTGAGTGGAACGATTGCTGCAGCTAAGAGTATCAGTATCGAGAGTGATGAAGATTTTGAAGATCTTACCGTGGAAGTTGACATCTTAAGCGAATGCAAGCATGACTATCTTGTCGGCCTTTATGAAACCTATTACTACGACAATAATATATGTATGATGATCGAATTTTGTTCCGGTGGAGCTATTGATAACATCATAATGGGTAAAGCGAATAAAATGAACGTTCTTTCTAACGCTACTTTAGGTTTTTTATACGCGTATTTAATACAAATATTTATAAAATTTTTTGCTAATTTATGATTGTCAATGCCACAATAAAATTATGTTATTATTCCAACATTAGACCTTGATCGAAGTTTAAGTGAAAGTGAAATTAAAGTGATTTGCAGGCAAACATTAGAGGTAAGGTCAAAATGACTATCTTGCTCCAACAACGTGTTAGGCCTATAACCTAATGATAATATTAGTATCGCTAAAAGATGACTGATATACGAGTCTATTTTACCAATTTGCTTAATCCTACATACTGTAGAAAGTTATTGCCTACTTTAGACTCAGTAGTTCATTAACACGTTGATAATATATTTATTGATTGATTGATTGATGTTTAAAGTAAAGTATTACCATGTACTGGTACATATTAATATTTCATATCTAAATTCGACTGATTTTGTTTATAAGCTAACGTTTTTTGCATACTAGGTATTACAATCACTGCATGCTAAGCACGTTATTCATCGAGACTTAAAGGCAGGTAATATATTGCTAACCGAAGGTGGCATCGTTAAACTAGGTAAGACTCACACATTGAATAGATAACAAAATATTAGCCGGCTGATATCATGTACTAGTTTTTGACAATGTGCTTTATTGAACTTTAAAAACATTAGCCGATTTTGGTGTATCTGCATATTGTAAGAGTTCACAAGAGAAAAGAAATACACATATTGGTACCCCATACTGGTAAATAGATTAACAATAACTACACTTTATTTAATGAAGTTATTACTAATGAAGTCTAATCAGCATGATTTTGCAAATGTACTAGACACATTAATTTACGCTTGACATTATTAATATAGAATATTGAGGTATTTCTCAACAGCAAATTGCATTTTTATTTGCAACGATGTGCCTAATTTTTAGGATGGCTCCGGAGGTCATATCATGTGAGACTGATAAACAATCGCTCTATAATACCCAGGTGATTTAAGCGAGCTATGGAGATTAATGTTAACATTGATATACACACGTCTTGTACAACGAATACTTGTATATTCGTAGCATATACACCATGTATTATTGGTTTTCAAAATTTTATCTGATATCGTAGGCTATTTCAATCGTTGAAAGCAGATATACACGTATGATTTATTATCCACTGATTCTATCTTTTGATGTACTTACTGTACAGGCGGATATATGGTCGTTAGGTATAACTTTAATTGAACTAGCAGAATCGCAACCGCCGTACGCAGAGATGCAACCAACTCGTGTATTATTTAAAATTGTTCGTGCAGAACCTCCAATCCTTGCTTCTAATACAAAATGGTAACAATTGCTAACATAGACAAATGGAATTAATTAAAGTCATAACTTAAATCGTTTTGGTCTACATTTCATAATTTATTTAACATAGGTCAGATAGTTTTCATGATTTTCTGCGCAAATGCCTGGTTAAGGATCCTTCTGGACGCTCTACCGTAGAGCAACTCCTAAAAGTAAGTATTTAACGAAATTTGTACACTCAGTTATGCTATACTGTACTTAACGTTCGATCTCAGAATAGTATTCATCTGAAATATGCCAATTTGCATATATTTATTGTAGTAAACAATATAGTATCAATATCGTATTCAGCGATGAGTTAAAACCTGATAAACCAAGAAAAAACTTTAGCACTATTAAAGTTATAACACGTCTTTACTTCCTGGTATTAATTATTTCTGGACGGATTCACCTTTTACGAGTGTAGCATCCATTCCTTGATGGAACTGACGATATTAATCCATTGAAAAGATTATATCAACTATCTAAAGGAGCGAAAAACATTGAAATTTCAACTTTACCGGTATTTGATTGAATAAGTTGTACAATACTTTTAGCCTTTCGGACAGGCCTCATGCTTATGCAGGCAGAATAATGAATCCTTTTTTTATTACTTTATTGAAGGAAATTTCCGAAAATGGTCACTTAGTTGCAGAAAATTCACCTGAACCATCTAGGCTTACGATTGATGGGCAATATTCGGATAGTACTTCTCTATCAAGTTTTACTGATAATGAATTCGACGAAAACAGATCCATGTCAGAAGTTGATACTGTTGATTACGTTGATATAACTAACCAAGTGAAAGATGCCGCCGATGTTAAATCTATGACGGATAAAACCAATACGATGCATATTTCTGAAGCTGAGCATGACAATGCCAAACCTGATCCAAACGCCAAAAATCTAGAACAAACAATAGAAAATACTAATGGTGTAATCACTGATGTCTCAGGCGTTAACAAACAATTAAATGGTATTACGAGTGATAATGATCTTAGTCTGATAATATCGATATCTGCTATTTAGAATCTACTGCTATAAGTTTAGAATGTACTGATTTAATGAATGGCACCATCTCTTCTACAGGTGATTCCATCAGCCAAGATAGTAACGATAGTAAAACGCCATCTGAAAATTCAAAAGGTGAAAATAGGATGATAGTTATGATGTGGATGTTATTTAATACAATTTCATGAATTACGATTTATTCGTAGTATAAGCTGAAGGTTACACCGCTGTAATCTTACTATTGCTCTGTCTCTTGCGTCGATGTAAAATAGTATAGATTAAAATGTAAACAGATTATTGATATTAAGATAGAAAAGTAGCGATAAAATATCGTTCGTACACCTGAACAAAATATGTCTATCTTTATTAGGATCTCACGACGGGCAGTATAGTAACGTAATCTGTTCATTTAAACCAAATGAAAGTCTTCTCCCCGGCAGTATTTCTTTGCACGGTAAATAGAAAATAATAAAGGCAACTTTCGTAACTATTTTCATGCAATAATTATTGATGATTGCAAAGTGACATTATGAACTATTATTCTTATTCTAAAGTTTTAGCATCAAACAATAGTACAGCGCAAGAACGGAGACCTAGTGGAAGTTCTTTCATATTCTCGCGTGCAATGTCTGAGGGTAATGTAACTCGGGCTCCTGATCCAGATATTATGGTATATATCAATTACGATGACTTTCCTTTATCAAGAGAAAAGCTATTCTATTAAGTACTTGCATTAATATACGCGTATATCTTTCTCCTTAATGACAATTATTGAAATAGTCCACTAAAATGAGTCATCAGTATCTTACCCTTACAAGAGTAAGAACTGATAAAGCTGTGAAAATTCCTGAAAATAACTTTACTAAAAAAATTATTAGCCAATCCTACGCGGAAACTGTAAAGAAAAGATTACGAGACTTAAGGTACTAGTTATTGTCATCAATCTGGATCGCATTGTTATCGATACTAGCTACTTAGACAACATTCACATACCACATAGGACGGCCAGCGTGAGAGAGATGAGAGCGCTACAACAGCTGCAGCAAAAGCAATTAACTAGCTTACTAGAAAAGACTGGACTTCAAATAGACCATTTGAATAAGAAAAAGATCGTTGAATTACAGGCAAAGATAATTACGAGTTTACACATATATTATGGGAGTAAGCGTTTTTAGATCTTTAAAACTGTTCTGAATGATGTTAATTTTACTTGCGAACGTAGATGTGGAAGAAAAAGCTAGATTATGACATAGATCAATTACTTAAAAAACAAAGAAAAGAACTTGAGAAGCTTAATTCTCATCAACTTATAGAGACTAAAATCTATCGCAAAAAACTACAAAATGATCAGGTACTAATTTGTTAGAGGTACAGGAATAATTTAGGAATGGCCTGCTTGTTACTATTATAGGTAAATTATGATTTTTTATACACAGGATAGAGATTTTAAAAACTACAAAGAAACTTGCAAATTGACATCGCAGGCCAAGTTAAAAGATGTATGCATTATATATATATAACTAGTGAGGGCAACCTTTTATCATTATTGATCTATGCTTTCTAGCAACACAAAATTTCCTGCTTAACACACATATATCCTGATAGTTTAAAAAAAGTAATCCGAAGTATACCAAGGAAATGAAAAAACAGTGGAAGCAAACACTAGAAACTGACAAGCAACAATTGGTATGTAATTTATGGTTTGATTCATAAATATTATACTAAATGAACTAACATGCAATTTTTTTATTTTATATAATTCCATTATTTGTATGGAATCGTATAGGAGGTGGAATACGAGAAAAAATTGCATACTGAATTTAACGCTGCGGTTAAAACATTGGAGCAAAAGCACCGAAGAACAAGTTATAATTCAGAGTTAGGATTTTTAAAAATGAAGCATGCAGCCGTAAAAGGTTTCTTAACTTGATTGAAATTTTTCAATGTAGATTAGTAAGTAGGTACTGTAGCTATCGATTATTTATTAATGTAATGTCCCTATCTTTTATTCCTAGAATTACATAATATGAAATGGTCTATAGAAGAAAAATTAATCGAAGATATTGCCAATCATGAGAAGCAATATCTAAATGACTATCTAGTAATGGTGAAAACCCACCTTGAAGAGAAGCGTGTTATGGTAACTTGATACAGCTTATAATACAAATACTTGGCATGCGGAAGTGCTCCAAGTAATCGAATAGACTTTTACAAGCTAATTACCTAAACTTTCTTGTAAAGGAATTAGATCAACATAAACGGCTTTGCCAATTTAGACAAGAAGAACTGCTGCGAAAACATAAGATGGAACGTAAGAAGCTACCAAAATTACAAAGAAACGAACTAAAGAATGCTACCATTCAGTTTAAAAAACAGTTACGCCCCTACAAAGCTAACACCATTGAATTTAAGGAAAAGCTTAACGACGTATGCAATGTTGAAGTAACGTATTACAGTTTGAATTTAAATTGATGCATCTATATCACGATCTTATTTTCAGCTTATAGAAAATGAGAGGAAAAAACAGCAATCAGAGTCAGTTATAATGGAAGACAGGCATAAAAATGAGATTGATGCTATGGCAACAGCGAATCAAGAAGCCTTAAACGAATTGAACGAAATTAGCGTACGTTGATGCTTCATTGAAATTGTTTTCCATTTATCAGTAATTTATAATTATAGTTATATTGCGCTACAGCCAGTTACTGTACGCTCAATTTTTTAAATAAATTGCCCTCACGAATTATTGAATATTTTTTGACTTTTAGATGGAAAGATTGAAATTGGCGGAGGAAAATAATCTATCTCGAGTTAAGCTATTTGAATCAGAGTATGCAAGTGATGTACATGGAATGAATGAGCAGATACGAAATGCAAAGGAGGTACGATGCTATCATAACGCAATACAATATAAGATGTATTGTTTTCGCTTAATAATTCATTTTATTTCTCTTTATTAATATTCGGTTGTAAATTTTAACTAGGAACTTGAAGCTACTGCAATCGCGGAAATCAAAGAGTTGGAGGCAAATAGCAAAGAAGTGACTGTTGAACCCGAACCAGAAAATAAGCAAGAAGAGACATTTTAAGCCTAGCTTTCCAATATTATTATTACTACTGTATTCTATTAATTAATTAGTTGTTGATACTATGATGAAAAGATTACGAACAAGATGCAACGTGAGATTTTCTAGCGTAAATACGTTTCTAGTGCCTAGCATATCTTACCAACTTGATGCTTTCGAAATCATCCTAAGAGTTGACTGTACGTTTGCAGTAGATTTTGACAAACATGTAGTAAGTTTAATTTAGGGGGGGGGGGGGGGGGGGAAG